GTTTCAACTTTGATTTTGAGCACAACTGTGCGCCATCTTAATGAGCTCCAAAATGATACCGTTTTGTGCATGGTTTTAACTTATGATTAGAAAATGAATACACTACTTAAGAGCATTTAAATATAGAAAGGGTTTAGCCACACCAAAGTAATTTCATATATCGTTTATACAAACTATAAAGTGTAAACATCCTGAAACACTAAGTTGTATCATTTCAATTGTGTTAAGTGCTTGTGTGCGAGACCGATAGGTCCTGGATTCGAATCACACGATGCGAGGTTGTGAATGCACACTGACACTGAGGAGTTCTAATATAAGACGAAATGGCCATCTAGTTGCTTCCAGTTTTTCTATAGTGGTCTAGCTTCAATTGATTTATGATCTCAACTATTGAAATTACTACAATCGCCAAAAAACCGGCTTCTGATACTACTCAAATAAGGATAAAAATTATATTTATGTTGATATGTAATAGTTTACTGGCTCTCTGTATATCTGAATTCAATCAGTTTTATACAAATGTTATTGTGATATACATATCACCAATCCTCGTATATAACCATCGACTTAATCGCTGTTAGTGAATAATGGAATTAAAATAAGTCAAATAGAAGAATGAAGATTGGAATACATATATTTCGTACACTTGTTGTTCGGAACAGACAATCAGAGGATTGCAGCGATTGAAGTGAAGTAGAAGGAGCGAAACGAAACAAAAAGAAGTGAAGTGAAGAAGGAGTGTAAGTCAACTCGATTTAATCAAATGTTAGTCAATATTTATAGTGACACAACAATAAGTTACAGACATGTGATGAATAGGATAAGTAGGGTATATACACATACGTTCATATGAAAACAATCAGGGTTGATAAGTGAATAATTAACATCGTCAAAATGTAATTCAGGAAGAATGAATGAATGAATTGACCTGTTTAGAAGCTAGAATAGGGTACATAGGCTTCAAATAGTAACCGACACTACAATATAGATACATTTAGACGGATAAATGGATCATCAGTATAAAAGTTTGTCGAAATGATTCAATTCTAATGAATTCACAAACGAATCAAAGTTAAATATTAGAAAGCATTAGACAGCTATTTCATTCTAGTATGAAACTCCTCAACATTTGTTATAACTTGTGACCTATGTGCTCTGTTAATGTATAATGTAACGATACCGCTAATGAGAGAGTAGTGAATTATCGATCGGATCAATGATGCGTAAACCCGTATGAGCAGTCTAGATTCCTTATCTGCTCTTCTCCCTGCCTGTTAAGTCCAGAACACCAATTTCAACCTCTGCGATATGAATCATTTATTCCAAACATACTGAGTTTATATACCAACCAAGCAGACCACATCGTACTAATAAAATAGGAAACAACATTTGTACAAGATTTAGCCAAATGTGGCTGTGAGTGAGGGAGGTAGTAATTAATATACTGGGTATAACTCAAGAATGGTAAAACGTATAATAATACTTTATGGGTCAAAATAAAGCTTATAATAAGAGGAACATGAATATGGACAATTTAGTTACATAACAATTATACGACAAAAATATACTCATAGTATTGATCCATAAATGGATCCCAAAAGTTACCATTCTTTATGGATATCGGGACATAACAACATTGCACATCCGCTCGGAATCGATACTTCGCTCGTAAATGCATACTGTTGAAGTGTTCAATGCCAGGATGAAACATTGTCTAATCTTTATATTGATTTGTGTTATTAATAACAATCAATCAATTGTAATTCTTAAAACTGTCAACTAATCTTCTTTAATTTTAGTGATAACCAACACAAGGCACCAAGTTTTATTTATCATAATGTATGAAGAATTCCAATATTTGGCATTTGGAAATGAAGAATAAATTAGAATATTTAAAAAAAATAATAATAATTTCAATAGTTGAGATCATGAGTCAATTGAAGCCAGGCCACCATGAAAAGCCTGGAAGCACTGGACGGCCGTTTCATGCTAGCACGGGACTACTCAGTAGTGCGTATTCATCACCCTCCCTAGAGGGATTCCAATCCAGGACCTGTCAGTCTCGCACCAGGCACTAAACCACTGAGCGGGCATCCAATGGCGTTAATGTCTAGCTTCAACTAACAACTAAATTCTTTTACAGCAATGCCCGACCCTCCTCCTTTACCAGGGCTTGAGACCGGTAGTAACTGTAGAAGAGCTACAGGCTGAGTTTTACCACAGCAATTCATTTGATATTGTTTGCTTGTATGTTCCCATTGTTGTGTACGAAAGCAATCGATCAATCTCTTTTTGGCATATGTGTATCCTGTACAGATTACCTCGTTATTACTTAAAGTCACAAGCATTCTAAGCAAAGATGAGGATAGTAGCTAGTAGCGGAATCCAGAAAGCGTGTTTCGTCCTATTTAGGACTCGTTAGGTGTTCGCCCTGAGACTCGAACCCATTACCGTCCACTTCAAACGTCATCGCGTTATCCATTTAGTCACTGAATCCTGATAGCCGCTAAGCTGTGAAATGGGGTGAAGTTTTTAGATTCACTTGGTATTGTTTGCTTGTACCTTCCCATTGTTATGTAGGACTGCAATTGATCAGTCACTTGTTGACACATGTGTATACTGTACGTATTGCCTCAATTGTGCTTTAATTCACAAGCCTTATAAGCAATGATAGATAGTGGCTAGCAGAGAGGATTTCTTGAGGATTACTGATACAAAAATGTTGAGAGTGTGAATTATTGGTTTCTGATAAGATTATTTTAATGGTATAGAAAAGGATTTCCAGTATCTTATTTCTGTATTGACTAGTATTTATACAGAGGCTCAATTGATTGCCTTGTCCATAACTATCTCTTTCATAGTACGACCAACTGTATATACATATTCATATGTATCCGTCAAAGCAGTTACATTGGTAGAACAGATACGAGAGCCTATGTTCGACTCAAAGAATATATATATAAGGACAAGTGGAGTACAACCATTCAGCAGTGTCATCTTATGACATCTCCTTGATATAGGACATCAAATGGACACAGTGAACTCTTTCAAGATGACTTATGAACAATGAAACTTCAATCTTTTAAAATTTTCCCATAAAATATTTGAAACAAGATCTATGTGGCTAAAAAGAGATAGTAATAAATCTTTCTTTGTCATGGTAACATGATATCCCTTTTATTGCTTCATTTATTATTTCAAATATCTTTCTTTCTCTCTCTCAAGTTTAATTACATCATTGTCGAGATTAGATGGTAGTTGGAGGTAGTCAACACGAAACCCTAGACCCAGGTTTTCATGCTACTTGGCACTCGTCAGCAAGATGTACCTGTAATCTTGAGGGAACTAGTGCACCCTGACGGATTTTATCCCGTGTCACCCAGTTTCACAGTCAGAGACATTACCACTGAGTTATCCGGACCGCGACTGACCTCCTGTAGGACTGAGATGTAATCACAATTGATTGACCACCACCGAGTGATCAATCAGTTGTGATTACATCATTGTCATTTCTAGTTAATTCATAATTCACTAATTCCAACTTTCTTTAGTATTATTAATCTGTTTCTGGTCACTTCATTACATAATCATCTACTGTTTAATAACTCAATGAGGTCGAATTATTAGGTCGGTGTTCTGGAATTTTCCCTCTCAAACCTTATTTATGTAACTAAAACAAAGTTTTATATATAAAGATAGATTGTGAGTTAATAGTGGAATCCAGAACGCGTGTTAAGTCCTATTTTAGGACCCGTCAAATGAATCTGGTAGTTGATGTTTACTCTAGAACTCGAACTCAGTACAGTTCACTTCAAATGCCATCATGTAATCCACTTAGCTATCCTATTAATTCGATTGGAATCTTCTCTACATCATGATACATACATTCATATTTAATAACCATGGTATTTACTACAAGAATGTCAATATCTAGGCGATAACAACCTGGAATAGAAAAATTAACTTTTATATCACAGTATTTTGGTATTTATATTTGGATACATAAATATTGGTATCAAGGGGGAACCGAATACATATGCGATATACAAGTCACTTAATTTGTGTGTGTGGGCTGTGATACTGCATTGGTGTTCAGACAGAAGCAGGTGGTTTCTTTAGGGGGTCACACACGAAGCCTTCGATCTAAAAAGTCTGATACAGAATTCCATAGAGCAATGTTAGGAGATGTAGTCTCATGATAGCCGGTGACTAACAATTGTTTCATATGCTATTTGTTCATTCAGAATATTGAAGCCCATATACACCATTAGATTGGAATCCGGATTTTCTAACAGCCCTAAGTGAATCCTCCATATCTACCAACCCGGTTAAAGCTTCTGACGTATATTCGCTTTTCTTTCTCTCAACTTCATCAACAACAATAATGTCGCAAGAAGGCGGTGTGTAGAACATCTCTGTCAATGATTGTATACGTGTGTCCATGTGAAAGCATTTGGAAAGAGAGAGAGTGAGCTAACTCTCCCTTCTCCCGTTTGTACCAGGGTATTTCGACTCCATTTTCATCGTTTATCATTTAACTCATTTCATATTAATATATAAATGTACAAAAATATTCTTATTCATAAGGTAGTTTTATTATGTTGTATAAATAATACCTACCACAACCCTCACCCCCAACATCAACCCCTCCTACCCCCTGTCAAATAATTCAACGCCATAGGAACAATAGATATCGATAATTGAATAACTGACTAATTGAAGAAAACAAAAACAAAAAAAAAACGACACAAAAAAATACAATCACATAGTAACTATACTTTCTAAATAAATTCTGATTAATAATAATAATGGTCTATAGTTAAATATTAATAGTTGCCATGTGATAAAAGGAATTCATTAGTCACTAATAAACATGTTTCTAAGCGTATCATATTGCTTTATAGTATCATGTGTTTCATGCACAATGTACCTACATACGTGCATAGATATACCCAAGTATCTGTGTATATATATTTGATAAGCCAAATGATATATGAGATAACCTATATGGTAATCTTAAAAAGCTTTTCTTTGTAAAGTAAGTCATTTTGGGAATTCTATTCAACATTGATCTATATTATAGAAACTGAGTTATGATTTAATATAAAACAAGAAGATTTCTTTATAAGTTATGAATGGATAGTCATTAGCAATAGAAACATCCAGCTGACGAGTCCCAAATAGGACGAAACGCACGTCGGGGATTCCATTGCTAGCCACTATCTATCATTGCTTATAAAAGAACTTGGATATATGTTTCTTCCTATTTTAAGGCTCATCGACTGGATGTACTTGCATCAAGGAGTTGATGTTCACTATGAGACAAGAACATAATACCATTTGTTTCAAACACTATCATTTGATTTATTTAGCTACTGATTTCAAGTAGTCAATAGTTTGTTTAATAAGTTGAAGTTTTAATTCATTTTTGCATCGATTGCTTGAATCTTACCATTTAAATGTTAACGCACTGTATAAGGAAATGACTATCAAGACTTCTTAGCTAAGTGGATAATGTAATAGAGTTTGAAGCGAACAGTTCTCCGGTCGAATCTCAGAGAGTGAATATCAATTTCGTGATACAGATACATCCAGATGACGAGTCACTAATAGAACGAAACCTACGTACTGGAATCCACTGCTAGCCCCTATCCATCTTTGTTTTCATTAACTATTCAGTATATATATATACACTATATTGACTAAATTAATTTGTTTAAGTGAACTATCATTATTCTTGTTAACTTCTTCATATGTCTTACTAATTACCGTTTGCTAAATACATGTGTTTGTATACACACCTCATTGTGAATTTGTTCGCTGACGTTATCTAGTCATTTCAATAGCGATCCGTTGAACATGTTTTAGTTCAGATTATACAACGTGTTCCTTATCAGTTACACACAAACACATTGGATTTATATATTGACACCTCTTGGAATTACTTCGTCAACATGATCATAATTCCGTGTATATATATATTTATTTAATAGTTTAATTCATAAGTCAATTGAAGCTAAACAACCATGGAAAACCTGAAATTACTGGACAGCCATTTCGTTCTATTGTGGTTCATGATCTCAATCAAAAACTCTGATAATCTCTATAACCCTTAACTGATAGTCACCACGAGCTCACTAGTGAATAGCTTCGTGAAGGAATTCTCTGACTTCTAATGAAAAGTCTTAACCAGTGGAGTTAATCCTCGATGGATAGATACAGAAATCTACCTCAGTACAATGGAAGATAGTCACGCAATTTCATGGATTGGTCGAGCTTAAACATTAACACCGTTGGATGACGGCTAGCTTAGTGGTCTAAAGGTTCGTGCTCGAAACCGAATACTCTGTGTTCGAATCCAATGAGCAGGATCATGGGTGCACACTGCTGAGGAGTACTACAACAAGACGAAACGGCTGTCCAGTGATTCCACATTTTCAATCCTGGTCTAACATGATCTTAAATCAATCAAAACATACTACTAAATAAATATAAATGAGGATATATGATTGATCATTAAAAAAAAGAAAACAATAAATCAAGTAAACAAACAAGATAGACAGACAGAGCGAGGGGGAGAAGAACAACACCAACAACAACAACAAGAAGAAGAAGGAGAAAGAATGAGAGAGGAGAAGAGGAACATTGTTCACTTTTTCCACATAAACTATGTCATTTACAAAAAAAACTACTTAACTACTATTTTACAATTCAATAGTCAATCAATTGGTTAGATTCATAATGTTATTTTGTTTTCTTTAAGAATATCTTAGTATATATGATATAACCCCGGATGTGAATAATAAATGGTCACTATCGGGATCTTATTATAGTCTTATTCTGTTCAGAGATTGTTATGGTATCATTGTTAAGTAGATTTTGAACTATATAGCCATGAGTATATAGCCACTATCAGAGATATCCGTTGGCTAGTTACTATCCGTAACAATGTATTGTGGAAGAGAATAAACCAACTTGTCAATGAGGAAGAGATTAGAAAAAAGGACATTGGAAGTGGATAGAACATATATGTATAATGGAAATCATCAAACTATATCAAGAGGTACACGCACTAATTTGGATTGTTGAAGGGAAACTGAAAAAAAGAAAGTCAAAGAACATATCACATCTAGAAATGGAAGTAGATATGAAAAGGATGAATAGCAACTGGAAAGGATTATCCAGGATAGGGTTGAATGGAGAATGTTGGTGGGTGGTCTATCCACCTCCAAGAGGTGTAACAAGCCTAAGTAAGTATGTAAGTGAGGGATGCCCTACTTAACACCTTCTCATGGCAGGGGTATTGTTTATGAAATAACGACATGTTATAGAAATATATTCCGTAATTGTTCATTCGTAAAACTGTACATCTTTTTACATTTTGCTAAGATTCTACGTGTTTCCATTGTGTCCCAGATAAATTGAATTCATTATCAAATCAGTATTTTGAAATTTATCAACGATATACTCACAGGTAATCTATCTTAATACAATAAACTTATTGATAACTATTTGTTTATGCATTAATTTTATAATACTAATATGTTGAATGCTGTCCCAAATGCTCTGATACAGCAGAGAGTGGGAAGAGTTAGCTCGCACTCCCGAAATGCTCTCACATGACCACGCGTATACAACCACTGTCAGGAGAGTTCTACTCAATGCCTTCTCACGGTATTACTGTTGTTTAAGAAATTGAGAGGACAAAATGCGAATGCCCGTCAGGGGTTTTAACCGTGTTGGTGGATATGGAGGATCCACTTAGGGGATTTGGAAAATCCTGGTTCCAAACCAATGATGCACATAGGCTCCGACATCCTGACGGAATAAATAGTGCATGAATCATTTGTCGGTCACTGGCTACTATGAGACTGTACCTCCTTAGGTTGCCCCACTGCATTGTGGAACAGAGCTTTAGGTCGAAGGCTGCGTGTGTGGCCTCCTAAGAAAACCTCCTGCTTCAGTTTAGACACCCGGTTAGTATCACAGCCCACACACAAAAATCAAGTGCATTATGCGTCACATATGTATTCGGTGCCCATTTGTACCAACGTTTATGGCTCAGTGGTCTACTGGTTAAGTGCTCGGGCGCGAAACCAGTAGGTCCTGGGTTCGAATCTCGCAGGGGGCGAGGTCGTGGATGCGCACTGCTGAGGAGTCCCACATTAGGACGAAACGGCCGTCCAGTGCTTCCAGGTTTTCCATGGTGGTCTAGCTTCAACTGACTCATGATCTTAACCATTGAAATAATATTTATGTGTTCAAATAAATAACTTAATGTTGTATGCTACTTATGATGACAGATATAAGTAGTATGTAACATCAGTCAGAAATGAATCATGAATTATGTAGAGTTCATTTGAATGAACATATGCGAATAATAGAATCAATGCATAGTTTTCATATCTAAAAAATCCACAGTACTTTTGAAATATACATGGAAATCATTCATTGAATACAATATTTGTACAACTTCTTTGTATTATCCTTTATACAATTCACTATTCCTTTGAATTTCGTTGTTATTTGGATTGCTTTCCAATTTCCTTCGTATTCTCAACGTTCCAAACATCTACTGACAGGTATTCCACTTTCAATTTCCGTTATATACTACTAATATCAGTCATTATAAGTAGCATACACCATATATATATGATTTATAAGTATCTCTGTCATTTCCTTATTAAATCACTTTGTTACATGATCAATATATGGTAAATAAAAACTGTATAGGTGATGGAATGCTTACATCGTTTATGTGATTAACTGTAACCAAGGTTATTTGTACAGTTGACAATCAGTTAGTAACGTAACAATGACACTAAGAGGACAGTCTATATGATACCTTGTATTTCAACCCATTGATACTGTTTACGATAACGAGTGTATTATAAAATCACGGTTCAATATATTACTGATGGTTTTCCTAAGTGACACTAGTTTCTAAGGAAAATTAGTTTTAATTATATTGAAAGTCCAGTTAGATAGCTGGTATCATTGTTTTGTAATATGAACTTGCTTATAGACATACAGTAATCCTGCAAGGTGGGATCGTTGATGCGCACTGACGAGGAGTCCCACAATAGGACGAAACGGTCATCTAGTACTTCCATGGTGGTTTAGCTTCACTTGATTCATGATCTTAACTATTGATATAATAATTCGTTTATTATAGCTGATGAACATAGTTTGCATTGGGAATTGATTTCAGTTAGATTATCATTGAAAACCAGGAAGCATTTGACAGACATTACGTCCTGATATCCATCACATCGGAAGATTGAAACCATGACTCTATAGGGTATAAAACTCAAGATTTGAAGGTCTCCAAATGAACATTTAATCGTATGATCACTTAGACGATGTCAAAATGGTTACCGTTTCTAACTGCGATCAATTCTCAGTATTGTGCAACCACCTTTTACTAACATTAATGAGTAAGCGCTTCACTATAAGAAAGTCAATACTTCATACAATGACTGAAGTTAGATATATAAACCAGTGGTACGACCCCATTAGTCTTAATGTTAAGCACGTATCGCTAGATAAAAAGGTCCTGGGTTCCATGCCCTATAAGATCGTGATTTAGATCTTCTGATATGACTCATGATGGGACGAGATATCTGTCCAGTAATCCCTGATTTTCAATGGTTGTGTAACCAATACCAGTCCAAGAAGAAAACTATAAAAATCCAAATATTTCCTTAAAATTCTTACACTAATTCAATGGACACTGAGTAATGACCAATCTTATGCCTATCTACTGATTCAGTGTTCATCGAATTCCATTGATCAAGTTGTTATGTTATTACCATTCAAAGTGACTGGAAGTCACATACATTACATTTAAAATTAAGATGGTTAGGAGTAGTTAACCGTTTGTTGACTCCTGAAATATCATTGGTTTGTCAGTATTTAGTGTTCAGTCAATTTTAAATATATCTCAGTGTTACATGATGTCATTTACGTCCTCAACAGTTCAATGGTAGTCTTCGACTGTGAAGCTGTGTAACTTAGGGTCGAATTCGCTAAGGAGCATCAATGCCCTCCAGATTACACATATAACTTACTGTTTATTTATTTATTTTAACACATATATATTAATACAAGGAGGCACCAAATACATATGCGCCACACAAATCTCATTCGATATGTGTGAGGGCTGTGTTGCTGCCCGGGTACCCAAAGCGAAGCAGGTGGTTTTCTTAGGAAGCCACACCCGGAGCCTTCGACATAAAGGTCTGATCCACGGGGCAGTGGAGCATCGTAAGGAGATGCAGTCCCATGGTAGCCGGTGACCAACAATTGGTTCATACGTCATTTGTTCCCGCAGGATACTGAAGCCCATATGCACCATTGGTTTGAAATTTGGTTAAAGCGCCGAACATTCGCTTTTCGTCCTCTCATTTTCGTAAACAACACCTGTGGTGCGAGAAGGCAGTGAGTAGGACTTCCCTGGTAGAGGCTATATACGTGTAACCATGTGAGAGCATTTCGAAAGGGAGAGTGGACTCTCCCCACTCCCGGACGTACCAGGGTATTTGGGGGCCATAACTTACTGACGAGTGCCAAATATCATGATGCTTAGTTCCAGGATTCCCGGTCGAATGCTTCCAATCACCATGATGGCTTAATAATTATATATTTTAAGCAGGTTAAAAAACACCGATTCGCGACGATATATTCAAACTAAAGGTCTTATTTTTGTCGGCAGACAATTTACTCATCTGTTTATAAATAGCTACATAGCAATTTACACAAGACATACTTACTTACGCCTGTTACTCCCAATGGAGCATAAGCCGCGGACCAGTATTCTCCAACTCACTCTGTCCTGAGTCTTTCCTTCTAGTTCGATCCAGTTCTTGTTCATTCATCTCATGTCTGTCTCCATTTCCCGGCGCAATTCGTTCTCTGATCATCCTCTTCTCCTTCGGCCTTGAGGATTCCAAGTGATGAAGGCTTGTCTTGTGACGCAGTTGGGTGCTTTCCTCAATATGTGTTCTATACACTTCCAGCAATTCTTCCTGATTTCTAACTCCACTGGAATCTCGTTTGTTCTCTCCCACAGTAGATTGTTGCTAATAGTGTCTGACCAATGAATTCGAAGTATTTCGAATAGACGATTGTTAATAAACACTTGTATCCTTTGTCTGATGGCTTTCGTAGCTCTCCAGGTTTCCACCCCATACAGTAGAACTGTCTTGGCATTTGTATTGAAAGTTCTGACTTTGATGTTGGTTGGTTGATAGTTTTTTTTGAGTTCCAGATGTTCTTCAGTTGTAAATGTGCAGCTCTTGCTTTGTCGATCTGCGCCTTCACATCCGCATCAGATACACCGTCATGGTTTTATCTTTGTGATTTGTGTTGCTGTTTAACTTCAATTAATTCACGATATTTCATATTCGTTATCCATTATCATTATTATCATAACCAAAAATATTAAAACGTTTTATACGCGTTCTTATAACGTTAACGAGAACACAGACGAGAACATCCAAATCTACTTTATTACAACATTAAAGAACTCCACCTAGAGTCCCTCCGGGGTCTTCTGCCTATCCCAAGCCCGGATAAAGGAGGAATACAGTAAAAAAAATACACCATTCTGTAAAATATCAATCAACTGTCTCAGATCTGATTGTTCTTTCGTTTTCATATCAATCATTCTTTGTTCTCATTCTGTTCTCTTCAATCTTCTTTATCTTCTACCATCTACTTTCTATTAGTGAATAATACATACTACTTATATATTTTGAGATTAGACGGTGGTTGTAGGTAGTCAATAGGAAACCCTATACCCGGGTTTCGTGCTACTTGGCACTCATCAGCAAGGTGTACCTGTAATCTTGAGGGCACTGGTGCTCTCTGACGGATTCGATCCCGTGTCACTCAGCTTCACAATCAGAGACGTTATCATTGAGCTATCCGGGCTGCGACTGACCTCCTACTTATATATGTATCAGTAATGCATATAGTATAATATACTAAGAGTGATATCATTCAAATGTATAGATTTCAATTACCTCAACAACAACAACAACAAAAGTAATTGATAGTTTTACACATTGTAATCAATCAAAGATGAACTCATTTAAACATAGACCTATAGAATGAATCTTATAGTTCATGATAATGAATTACGTGATGTTTTCTAATATGATTGATCATGATCATAAGTAGTAGCACAGTGATATATAAATGATCCGATTATCATTATATATAAACCTTCTTATGTAATCATAAGCTGATTACCTATTACATAATCTCTATAAATGAACATTATACTTATTAACTTATATCAATTCAATTCTTATAAATAAGGATTAATGACATAGTAACTTTCTATGAATATGGATCATAATTGATTCAGATCATACTGATTATTATTATTATTATTTTACTTGATAGATACCATAATGAAAGAGAAAAGTACCATGAATATAACTCAAGATGATCAAATCAATAAAGTAACCAATATGAGTAGTAGTTGTCTGAATTGTATCAGAAGTCGTACAACAATATTGATTATTGTATTTATTGCATTACTTCTAGATAATGTATTATTAACTACTATTGGTAAGTCATTATTGATCACTTATGTATATCTATATATAGCTGTATTGACTAAGTAATCTTATGTAATCTCTATGTAATTACTCTTACTTACTTACGACTGTTACTCTCAATGGAGCATAGGTTGCTAACCAGTATTCTCCGACTCACTTGTTATATTTGGTCGTCGCAATTGTTGTGCCAAAAAATGCCACTGACCACTTATACTAGGAATGAGGGACCCTTGCAATTTCCACGATGCGAAAATAAGAACACAAAAACTGGTATAAGTGATGATTTATTAGCCCCAAAACACTATGACGACTACGACGACGAGTCAAAATAGTCTAAAATACACTCATTTATATATTGATTGTACACCCATTATGATTAACACTTGGGATTAAATCACATACTCAGTTATAACAAATCGCAGACTATGAGCATAGTTCATGTTAAGTCATTACAAGAATATCGTATATCAATATCATACTGGGAAAACAACAAAATACTACACTGAATGATCCTCACTTTGAATCAAAATGGATGTATGTTGAATAAAACTCATAATGAGTAATTCAATCGAATTTTGACTTTTCTTTCCATCATATCACCTCCCCTTTTTTGAAGATCCGGAGTTGATATCCGGATTTTAATTTTTCTGAGTTCATATTGTTATAACTTGTGACCGCCGATTATTGAGCAGTGACTTATCGTTCGGATCAAAGACAAGTAAACTCGTATGAACAGTCTAGAGTTCTGGTTGACCCTGTTTTCCACCTAGCACAGTCAGATAAGTCCAGAACACCAATATCAGCCTCTGCAATATGAATCCTTATATGTCAAATCTACTCTGTTTATATACCAATCAAACAGACCACATTTGACCAACAGGAAAATGACACATGAAATAAAGATTGACCAATAGGGGAATGATACCATTTCAAGTTCAAGGATAGCATTAGACTTAACAAGATAATTTTTTGGGATATTTTTCTGATTATCCCAACATCACTCTATCCTGGACCTTTCATTTTAGTTCTGTCCAATTTTTGTTCATTTTTCTCATGTCTGTCTCCATTTCTCGGTGTAATGTGCTGTTTGGTCTTGAGGATTCCAAGTGATGAGTGATTGTGTTGTGAAGCGATTTGATGCTTTCCTCAATATGTGTCCTATTCACTTTCAGAGAGTTTCTTCCTGATTTCTTCCTCCGTCAATGATGATCCTCCAACTTCATAAATAGTTCCTCCTGATAAATTATTATTAGATAATGTCGTCAAACGATGTACAAATTAGAAAAGACAAGTACAAAGTGTTGATTGTGTTTATTATGGCATAAAGCACAGATTATCAAGACCATTGATACATGAGATAAGAATGAAAGGTGAATGTCGAAAAGCAATCGAATGAGTGAGCAAGTTCGTGTGTCAAAATTGATGGGAAAAAAAATGTACATATAAGCGAGACTAGAACTTGTGAACGAACCAATCAGGTGTATAAGATTCATCCATTTGGATAAATACAGTTTTGGTATTACCGTTGATGTCAGTTCTTAAGGAAAACCCTAAATCTAATTTCTAACTCTTAACCATCAACTTTAAATCATCATTCGAATTCCCTACATTGGTTGATAACCATCATTTGGTCGTAGTTTCTAGGTGGATACTCTCAAAGTCAGTCTGGCGTCTCTTGAAAGTCGTCCATAAATTATAGTCTCACCCACATATATATGGACGTAAGGAAATCAATTAACCGACTAATAGTAGAATAAATACGTCGGCAGTAAGCAATACTCAATCATACAGATTCATACAAGTGTAACAATAATAAAGGTATAATGATGTTATGAAATGATGTTGTGTTGTCTTTGATAAGATTGAATTCCTTTGAACTACATACTGAAAGCATCCATCTCCATCCATCTTCATTGTTTCAATTCAGTTATTTGCTTATACATAGTATAATCATCATCATCATCATCATCATCATCATCCAAAGCATCATCATCATCATCATTTATGATCACTATTTATACAGTAGCTTCATTCAATTATTTCATATAGGTTGTTAGTGCAAACTGACTCAAGATGACAGTATATAGATAATTATCGATATCCATAAGGCTATTTATTCATAATCATATTTCAGTAGTTTTAAATGACTTCTTTGATCATAATATGGTGTGTGGGTGGGTGCTACTGATGTCTACAGATATAAGTAGTATGTATCATTCGCCAATAGAAACTGGAATGCTTAATAGCAGAAGGTTACGAAGATCGAAGAGAAGAGAACAAGAACAGAGAATGTATGGTTCTGTATGATTCTCAGATTTTACGATGATGTTCTGTAATGTTGTGTTGATATCCATTTGGTTGTCTCTAATGGTGTTCTTGTTCACTATAACATAACAAGTAGCTCGATATATCAGAACATCAATGATGTTTTTTTCAGTTGTTCAGTTGACCAACATTTAAAATGTTTGACGATAAAAAGAGGAACTGGGGCATTTTCTTCATCCACTTAAATGTAGGGTCTATCTGTATTAAAATAAGCGGCGAAATTATAATTTATGGACAAGCTGATCAGAAACAGTTGAGAGATTTCAAGTCCACGGAACCAATTTCAGTACCTGATACTCATGTACGATCGGTTTACAACAGAATTTAGAGAGAACATGATAATTGAGCGGCTACAACAAATAGGACTACTAAGAAATTCCTTTATTTGTGATTGTGGTAATCAAATGACTTGTGGACCTTGTGCTTACTTACTTACTTACTTATGCCTGTTACTCCTCGTGAAGGAGCATAGGCCGCTCACCAGCATTCTCCATCCAACCCTGTCCTGGGCAATCCTTTCCAGCTCCTTCCAGTTGTAATTCATCCTTTTCATATCTGCTTCTATTATCCGACGTAATGTGTTCTTTTGCCTTCCTCTTTTCCGCTTCCCTTCAGGATTCCAAGTTAGGGCTTGTCTCGTGATACAGTTTGACGATTTGCGTAATGTATGTCCTATCCATTTCCATCGTCTTCTCCTAATTTCCTCTTCAGCTGGAAGTTGGTTCGTTCTCTCCCACAGAAGGCTATTGCTGATGGTATCTGGCCAATGGATGTTGAGTATCTTGCGTAGACAGCTATTTATAAATACTTGTACTTTCTTGATTGTGGTTGTTGTAGTTCTCCAAGTTTCAGCTCCATACAGTAGAACTGCCTTGACGTTCGTATTGAAGATTCTCACTTTGATATTGGTTGAAAGTTGTTTTGAATTCCATATGTTCTTCAATTGTAGGAATGCGGCCATTGCTTTGCCAATCCTCGCCTTTACGTCTGCATCTGAACCTCCTTGTCCATCGACGATGCTTCCCAGGTATGTGAAGGATTCTACATCTTCCAGAGTTTCGCCATCAAGAGTGATTGGATTGCTGTTTTCCGTTTTGAATTTGAGAACCTAGGTTTTCCCCTTATGTATGCTGAGGCCTACTGATGCAGAGACTGCTGCTACACTGGCTGTCTTCATCTGCATCTGTTCGTGTGTACGTGATATAAGAGCTACGTCATCTGCGAAGTCCAGATCGTCTAATTGGTTCTGAGCTGTCCATTGTATTCCGTGTTTTCCTTCAGATGTCGAGGTCTTCATAATCCAGTCGACCACCAGAAGAAAGAGAAAGGGAGAGAGTAAACAGCCTTGTCTGACCCCGGTCCTTACTTGGAATGCATCTGTCAGCTGTCCTCCATGCACGACCTTGCACTGTAGTCCGTCGTATGAGTTCCGGATAATATTGACAATCTTCTCAGGAATTCCGTAGTGTCGAAGAAGTTTCCATAATGTCCTCCTATCTACACTGTCGAATGCCTTTTCATAATCAATGAAGTTGATGTATAGTGACGAGTTCCACTCAACCGATTGTTCGACGATGATCCGTAGTGTTGCAATTTGGTCTGTGCACGACCGATCCTTACGGAATCCAGCTTGTTGATCTCGAAGTTGAGCGTCTACTGCATCCTTCATCCGGTTCAGCAACACTCTGTTAAAGACCTTCCCTGGTATTGGCAGTAGTGTAATGCCTCTGTAGTTTTCACATTTGCTCAGATCTCCTTTCTTTGGAATCTTGACGAGGTGCCCTTCTTTCCAGTCCATTGGCACTTGTTCCTCCTCCCAAATCTTTTTGAATAGAGGGTAAAGCATGCTTGTGGTTACTTCGACGTCTGATTTCAGTGCTTCAGCTGGTATGTTGTCGGGTCCTGCTGCTTTCCCGTTCTTGATTTGTCTGACGGCCGCTCTAATTTCTTCCGTCGTTGGTGGGTTGACATCTATAGGAAGATCTATGTGTGCTGCTTCGATGTTCGGTGGATTCATAGGAGCCGGCCTATTCAGGTGTTCCTCAAAGTATTCTACCCATCTGTTACGCTGTTGTTGAATTTGTGATTGGCTTGCCTTCTTTGTCTTTGACCGGCCTCTCTGGTTTACTGTATTTCCCTGCTAGTTTCTTCGTTGTATCGTAAAGTTGTCTCATATTTCCTTCTCTAGCAGCTCTTTCTGCCGTCGTTGCTAATTCTTCCACGTATTTCTTCTTGTCAGCTATAATGCTCCTCTTCACTTGCTTGTTTGCTTCTATGTATTCAGCTTGTGCTTGGACTTTCTCTGCTCGTGTTCGGCTGTTGTTTATTGCTGCCTTCTTGTTCTTCCTTTGTTTGATCTTGTCCAGTGTTTCTGTAGAGATCCATTCCTTATGATGGTATTTCTTTAGACCCAGAACCTCTTGACACGTTGAAGTTAATGCTTCTTTGATGCTTTTCCAGTTGTCCTCCATAGTAGTTTCTTCTTCTTTCAGTAGATCTTGTAAGGCTTGGAACCTGTTGTTGAGAGCTATCTTGAATTCATTGAGTTTGTCAGTATTACGAAGGAAGGCTGTATTGAACCTTTGTATCGCTGTTTGTCCACTTGTCCAGTTCTGTTTTAGCTTCAGTTTCAAATTGGCTACAACTAGGTGGTGATCTGAAGCTACGTCAGCTCCTCTCCTGGTTCTCACATCTTCCATTGTCCTTCGGAATTTTTTGTTGATGCAAATATGGTCTATCTGGTTCTCTGTAGTGTGGTCCGGTGAGATCCATGTAGCCTTGTGTATACGCTTGTGTGGAAATATTGTGCCTCCTATGACTAATTTGTTGAATGCACACAAATTTGCAAATCTTTCTCCATTTTCGTCCCTCTCTCCCAGTCCATGTTGCCCCATAATATCTTCATATCCGATGTTGTCTATTCCAACTTGGGCATTTAGATCTCCCATTAGAATGGTGAGGTCCTTTCTTGGGCATTTCTCAATGACTGACTGCAGCCGCTCGTAGAACTGATCTTTAATGTCGTCGTTGCTATCATTGGTGGGTGCATAACATTGGATAATATTCATTAAGACCCCCTCCTTCTTTGTTTTGAATGATGCTTTGATGATTCTGGATCCGTGGGATTCCCATCCTACAAGTGCATTTCGTGCTACTTTGGACAGCATAAGAGCGACTCCCTGAGTGTGTGGAGCATTTTCCTCTTCGTGACCGGAGTATAGCAGCATCTCTCCCGTAACTAGCTTTTTCTGTCCAGCTTGGGTCCAGTGGGTTTCGCTGATTCCCAGTACTGCTAAGTTGTATCTCCTCATTTCCATTGATATTTGACTGGTCTTCCCGGTTTCCCACATTGTTCGAACGTTCCATGTACCTATAAAAATTTTTGCTCTGGTTGTTAGAAGGGGCATCGGCCTCGTGGCTTCCGAAGGAACTCGGCTTTCACCATGAAGCGTCATAATTCTTCTAAATGAAGACCTTCTAACTCTCAGGGCAGAGTTAAAATGGTTTGAATTATTTTTTCTGGTAAGCGTTTTTTTAGCGAGTTAGTTTTCTACGGGATGGGGACGCTAACCCCATGCCCAACCCTCCTCCTTTACCCGGGCTTGGGACCGGCAGTAACTCTAGAAGAGCTACAGGCGGAGTTGTGGACCTTGTGCAGACTACCGTAATGATGTTGTGTTTCGATGTAGTATGAGTTGGAGGAAGAATTCTGCTAGAAGAAGGACTTTTTTGCTCGATACAGATTGAGACTAAAACGAACTGGATAATAAAAATACCAGTAACATTGGCTGCAACATTTGCAGATGTTACTGAAGCTTCGGCTGTTCAGTAGTATGAGTATTGTAGACATATATGCGCAGTAAAAATGACAAGCCAACACGAATCGTTTAACAGAGTCGGGAGAATCGTTGTCAGGAAACGAAAATTAAACAGAGGACGTATTGTTAAAGAAGACTGGGTAAGCAGCATAAATATACCTCATAGGTCCTTAAAATATACGACAGGTAATCTCAAAAGGGACACTTTGAACAAGTTAGATACCGACAGACTATTACGATAATACCAATTATACGGGAATATATGCAGCCATGTTCTACATTATATACGAATGAGTGAAGAGTGTACAGATGCCTACATAGACTTGGTTATGTGCATCGTGTCGTTATCCACAAGCGGCATTTTTTGAACCCAACAACCAGAGTGCACACAGACGATATTGAAGTTATGTGGCCGAGGCTGAAACAGTTTTTGGCAACCTTATTTTGGCTTAAGAGACCTACTATTATGGACTCATAAGAATGAGTTTCTCTATCATATGCATTACGATTTCAGTACGTCTGAATCTATTTCTAACCTTGACAAGTTTTTGAACTATATCAAAGAAGTGTATTCAACTCAACTTAAATATAAAACCCCTTAGTATTGTTTACTTATATCTTCCCATTGTTGTATTTAGGACTAAAATTGATCAGTCTCTTGTTGATAATAGGTGTATCCTGTAAGGATTGATTTGATATTGTCTTAAGTCATAAGCTTTATAAGGACATAGTAGCTAAGTGTATAACGCGATGGTGTTTGATACGATTGGTAATGGATTCGAGTTGTGAAATGAATGTCAACTCTGAGATGTTTATACATCCGGCTGACGAGTTCTAAATAGGATGAAACGGGCATCCTGAATTCTAGTGATAGCCACAAACCATCTTAGATATAAAGTATTTTACTTTAAAAGATCGTTTTAAAACATGTTTTATAACTTCTCTATGTCATTTGTTCTCAAACTGTTCTCAAATAATCTACACATTGATGTCACCTAATATGAAAGACATTGTTTCTGTGATTTCTAATAATACTATTCAACCGTTTTAAGCTTAAGTGGATGTGAAGGGTTTCGAACTTGGAACAGAGTAGTTCAAAGTTGTATAGCTTAATCACTGTTCTTTCTTTCATTACATATGAAACAATGAAGTCTTACTCTATCTCTAGTCTTGATACTAATTCCCGATTACAACTTATCGCTGTATATAAATCTTCAGGCTAGACAAACCTTTATATGAAGTGGCAAACAGTGTTATCCAGTGCACTCATTTCGTCCGATTCAGTACTTGTCAGTTGGATGTACTTGCATCTCAGGGTTGATGTTCATTCTGAGATTAGAATCCAATGCTTGTGAATTCAGCCAATCTCGACGTAATACGCTGAAACGTGGAGAACTAACACAACCATCATCAAAAAGGTACAAGTATTTATAAATAGTTGTTTACACAAGATAACCAATATCCATTGACTGTATGCCATCAGCAACAACCTACTGTGGGACAAGACAAAGCAGCTTCTAGCTGAAGAGGTAATTAGGAAAAGATGATGGAAAGGGATACGACATACATTACGCAAATCATCAAACTGCATCATGATGCAAGCCCTAACTTGTAATCCTGAAGGGAAGTGAAAAAGTGGAAGACCAAAGAACACATTACATCGGGAAATCGAAGCAGATATGAAAAGAATGAATAACAACTGAAAAGAGTTGAAACGAATTTCCCAGGACAGGGTTGGATGAAGAACTCTGATGTTGGGCCGATGCTCTTCCACGAGGAGTAACAGGCGTAAGTAAGTAATGCACAGTATGTACATATAACAACAAGAGACTAATCAATTACAGTCCAAAAGAAACAACAAATAACATTTCAATAGTTGTGATTATAAGTCAATCGAAGTTAGATCACCATAGAAAACCTGTTAACACCAGACAATACTGATAGGTTTTAGGTTTGAATCTCATGAGATGGAATCATAGATGCGTACTGCCACTGAAGAATCCTACAAAAGGACGAAACAACCATCCATTTATTGATTCATTATGTTATTCTAATGTTTCCTATATAGAACAATTTCCATTATCTTATATTTACTTTCTTTTCTTTTCTTTTACAGTTCCAATTATACCTAAATTATTAATAAATAAAGAACTAATAGAAACTAATTGTACCCATGGGAATTGTTCCCATTCAACTATTCACACCATTGATAATTATAATCCACATATTAAAATTGGTATACTATTTACTGTTAAACCACTTGTACAGTTCTTAGTGAATCCATTTATTGGTCCAATTACTAACAGGTATTGTACAATATGTATATATACTACTGATATTATTGAAATGAAAGTAGTATGTATGTGTTAGGTATGATATTTTATTTTTATTGTTTAATAAAAAGAAACTAAATTGATGATATTTAAGGAGATGATGGATAATTTTGATCAAGTTTTTATACTTTGAGTTGAATAGTTGGGTTATGGAGCTTTCAATGTTCCTTTGAATGATATGACCAACCTGAAGTTTTTACTGAGAATCTAATTTAAAAGAACGACGAAAGCGACACAATCAAACTATTTTGGATCAGAGAACAAAATTTCATCGAAATTGGTGACATTTAGCATAGAAATAAACATTGACTAGTGGGGTTCAACTGAGTCAGTTGTGAGATAGTAACTCACTGATGAAAATGATGGATGTGTTAAACATTAACACCATCAGATGATGGCTCAATGGTCATGATGTTGCGCGCTCATGGATCGTGGATGCCTACTATTGAGAAGTCTCATACTAAGACGAAACGACCGTTTAGTGTTTCCAGGTTTTCCATAGTGGGCTAGTTTACATTGATCCATGAATTGAACTAGTAAATTACTACTGACTAACATACTTATGCCTGTTACTACCAATGGAACATAGACCGTCGACCAACATTCTCCATCCCGCTCCTTCCTGAGTCTTCCTTTCCAGTTCTATCCAATTATTGCTCATTCGTCTCATGTCTGTCTCCATTTTTCGGAGTAATGTGTTCTTTGATCATCCTCTTATCCTTTGACCTTCAGGAGTCCAAGTGATCAGGGCTTGCCTTGTGGCACAGTTAGGTGCTTTCCTCAATATGTGTCCTATCCACTTCCAGCACTTCTTCCTGATTTCTTCCCCCTCTGGGATCTGATTTGTTCACTCCCATAGTATGTTGTTGCTAATAGTGTTTGATCAATGGATCAGAAGTATTTTACGTAGACAACTGTTAATAATCACTTGTATGTTCTGAATGAAAGCTTTCATTGTTCTCCAAGTTTCCACCCAGTACAGTAGAACTGTGTTGACATTTGTATTGAAAATTCTGACATTGGTGTTAGTGGACAGACAGTTGTTTTGAGTTCGAGATGTTGTTCGATTGTAGTTATTCTGTTCTTGCTTTGTCGATCTACGCCTCCATATCTGCATTTGATCTACCATGTTCATCAATCATGTCACTTTCTTGGTCGTGGTCCTCGGAAACTTGTAAAATTATAGAAAACTAAATTTAAAGAATGTTGATGGATAGATGTCGTTTCACGACAGTACACTTAGACACTTTTCAGTGATTGTTCATAAGTTTTTTTTCACTTGTATTAGATTACCACGATAGATCATGTATAAACATCAAGGTTCGAATTCTTCATGAAATTCAATATGACCATTTCGGAGGACAACAGTAGAGTGATAAGGAAAGGGTATAATACGAGACAGCTGACGAGATTGAAGAGCTTGATTCTTCAGAACGTTTAGGAATGTTTTAAACAATAGCAACACATATTAAACAAGTTGCTATTTCACAAACAGGGTGTATTTTGAAAGGTATGGCGGTTATAGATGGACACTGATAAGAAGTTATTCAATACTCCCCAATTTTTATTGGTGGTTTTATGCTAATATGTCAATAATATGACTTTCATATATGCCCCGGTAAAAACCCACCATCTCCAAGTGTAAGAGTTCAGTTGATTGTAACCATTTAGTTAATTTACATTTTAGTTACTTTGCAAGACAGTTTAGTTAAAAACTACCATGTAAGTTTTTAAGTACATACATAACCGATGAGTCCTTTAGTTATTTGAATCGTTTCATTGATATGTTAAGTCTGCAATTTACTGGTCACTTCTGACAGATTTCTATCCATAACATGGATTTCATTCTTTTCCGGACTTATCAATTGATGGAGTTTTGTTCTCTGATCTGGATGGTTTAGTCGTGGAGCTTTCATCGTTCTTCTGAACGACATCATCAGCACAAACTTCAGGTAGAAAGAAAGTATTCGAATTTCTCAATATGTGGTGCACAGCTTGTCCTGTGCACATCGATGTTGACTGGTTCTTATTGGCCTTAAATTTGTCATTATTTACTTCTTTGTTTTGGTTGTATTCCCCCATTGGTTTGATTACTGTTACTGTGTTTGTACATAATTTTCCTGATTGGTTGATAAATTGGATCGACTTCAATGTGTTTGTTGATTGCTGATTGATCTGAGTGCTAAGCTTCTAAATATTCATTGGTGTTTTTGGAATTTCCTCTATTCAAGATTTCCACATTTTTCCAGTCAAATGAGTGTCCACAGTTGTCCACGTGGATTGATATAAGTAAGGACATGTCATGGCGTTTGACTGCTAATTGATATTGATGAAGAGGGCGTCCGCTTTGTCCGATATAGTGTTTTTCATAGTTCGTACAATTCATTTTGTAGATGATGTTTTGTTTGTCATAGAACACTTTACTTCTACCTGAAGTTTATGCTGATGATGTCGTTAAGATGAACGATTAAACCTTTACGACTAGACCATCTAGCTAAGAGAACAAAACTTTATCAAAATCATCCAAATGAGCTACAAATCTTCTCCATTTATTCGTTGATGATACCTTCACTTGATGAATTGATGTTCACTTCAGGACTCGAACTCAATACTGTTCACTTCAAAAACCCTTATCACATGATCCATTTAGGTACTTTATGAATTCTATTGAAATCTTTCTTATATCCTAATACCTCTATTCATCATGAATCACTATCGTAGTTACTAAAAGTATATCAATATCTATTTTAAGTAGTTGATAAGACCCTGAATCGATTTATTCTTCTGTACCAATCATATTTTATTCAATTACATATGTAAATCAACTATGTCTCATTTTTGTTTGACTATTTGCCTTAGTTACAAATAGTATCGGTTATCATTATGATAATCGATAGATTTTAACACCTTTAAATGATTGATTAGAATCATCTGAAATGTTTAATAGTCTATATTTCTAAGACATTCTATAGAACATTTAAATGAAATATCTATGATGAAGATAGATCATTATATTGATGTCTTACATTAATATATTTGCTAAATATAGTAATTGATGTCTAATCAACGGACTAATAGATGAATGAAGAAGATAAACAAAAAGAGAAGACATTGAAGTACTGGACGATCAACTTGTTCAAGTAGTATGGGACTCCATAGCAGTGTGAATCTACGATCTGACTTGTATGATTCGAATCCAGGACTTTTAGTCTCGTACATGAACTTTGGATACTGGTTCAGTGGTCTAGAGGTTAAGCGTTCGTGCATGAGATTGATAGGTTATAGGTTCGAATCTTGAGTGGTGGGATCGTGATTGTATACTGCTTTGGAGTGCCATACTAGTTTTTATTTTACTCATTTAACTTTCATCAATTCACGATAAAGGGTAATAATCAAGGCGGCCTGCTTGAGCATCTGGGCTACCTGTTCCTGCCATCTAGATATTTCAACAAGTTATCTATTTTTGTTTATTTTAATATATCATTATGTATATTAACCGCACAGCCTATCCTGGTGCATTTCTGAAAAGTGTACAACCTTTCGTTGTCAAAGTTACAAAAAGCTCAAAAAGAGAGAATATTGTTGCTGGCAATATACAACAAAAAGAATGTACATTATTCAGATATTCATTTACTGGACTGTTAACATCTAACTGGCGATTCCTCAATATTTATCGCCAGGACCGACCAAGAAGAAAGAAACGGAAACTTGTTGAAATACTTTGAGCTGAGAATTCTATATTGTACCAATAATATAATATTGAATAAAGCTAATAATAATAATAATACAGTGTGACTGGTGGAAAAATGACTCACCCTTAGAATAAGTGAACTCTGCTAGTCACAGAATATACTAGGACGGAACATATGTGCATACTGTGCGTATTGCCTCGATATTGTCTTAATTTGCAAGCATTATGAGAAAAGATGGATAATGGCCAGCAGTGGAATCTAGGACACAGTTGCACAATCAAGCGGCTATCAGGACTCAGTAGCTAAGTGGATAAGGAGGTGGCATTTGAAACGAACGGTACTGAGTTCGAGTTCCAGTGTAGACATCAACTCTGTGATGCAGGTATATGCAGATGACGAGTCCCAAATAGGACGAAACGCGCGTCAAACTGGATTCCACTGCTAGCCACTATCCATCCTCGCTTAGGACGGAATGGTTATCCAATGCTTTCTGGCTAAGATTAGTTCATGCTGTAAAATATAGAATTATCAAGTTCAATAATGTTCTTCAAGCACAATAGTTACTAGCTTCACTTAGTATACTACTGATTAATTTAAGCTAAACAATCATTAATAATTTCAAAGAGGAAAGTTCAATGGACTCATATTTCTAGAATAAACAACTGTTCAATACTTGCTAATTGTTCAGTGATTATCAACATAGGATTGTGAAGATTGTTGAATTTCATTAAGATCATAAACTGTTCAATTTTAGACTATCATTGAAAACCTAGCAGCAATAGATGGCTGTTTTGTCTTAGTATGAGACTCTTCAACAATGCGCATTCACCATCTCACACTTAGAACTTGAACCCAAGGTCATCGGTGTCATATGCAGTTACTCATCGAACAAAATGGAAGATGATCGATCGTACAGTATCATAAACTGATGAAAGTTAATACATTACCATTATTGGATACCAATCAAGTATTCATTGATTAATATCAGATGGGTTTTGTGGATATTATAGTAATTTCAATGGCTAAAATCGTGAGACATTTGAAGCTAGACCACCATGGAAAACCTGGAAGCACTGGACAGCTGTTTCGTCCTACCGTGGGACTCCTCAGCAGTGCGCATCTACGACCTCGCCCCCTGCGCGATTCTAACCCTGGACCTACTGGTTTCGCGCGCGAGCACTTAGCCACAAGACCACTGGGCCGGCATCCTATAGATGTTAATGTCTAACTTCAACTAATCCACGAAATTAAGCAACATATCTACCATTGTCTTCAGTGAGTTACTATCTCACAACAGACCTAGTTGAATTCCACTGGTCACTTGAACTCCAGGATATACCTCTTGAAGCCAGTCATTAGTAGTTGATGGAAGTTGATACATTAACATTATTGGATATCGATCATGGATTCAGTGATTGTCTATGAAGTCAACTTTCTTTATGTATCATTGTAATCCATGAATTTGTTTGTTTATTTTTTGTTGAATAGAATTGGTTATAGTATTCCAATGTTTACTGGATTCATACTCTTGTTTATATCAATAATTAGTAAGTTTCCATTTAGATTTCTATCGTAGTCTCTTGTATATGCATATACATTTGTAATGTTATAATTGAATACATAAGTCAATTGAAGCTTCATTTGGTATTGTTTGCTTGTATGTTTCCATTATTGTTTAGAACTGTAGTTGATGATCAGTCTCTTGTTGGTGTATCATGTATGGATTGCTTTGATGTTGCTTTAATTCACAAGAATTTTATGAGTAGAGATAGATGGTGACTAGTAGTGGAATCCAGAACACTCTGGATGTAGGTGCATCCTAGAGTTGATATACACTCTGGAATTCGAACCCAGTATCGATAGCGTTTGAAGTGAAAGGTACTACGTTCGAGTCCCAGTGCGAATACCAACTCGGGTGCAGGTACACCCAGTTGATGAGTCCCAAATAGAACGAAACGCACAACCTAGATCCCACTACTAATCACCATCCATATTTGATTATGTATATAATTTAATAGAATTGATCAAGGTGAAATGAATTTCACTGGATTATTATTGGCAGTGTTATTGGTTGTAGTGATAAAAACATTGATGTGAGTATTAGTGGAATGAATAAGAAACGTCGTAGGGTAAACTGAATTTTGTTTTATACAAAATTAAAGAGTACCATAGTATAGATGAAAACTATGGATTAACTACATTATTTGTACATAGTCCTTCATTTGTTCTGCACGTGTTTTATGATACTTCCAATTCTGTTGTTATTAGAATCGTTCATTATTTCTCTTCCTACTCACTTCAATTCAATCTTCCACTGACAGGTATTCCTATTTCCTTCCTTCCTTCCAAACTCCTGTTACTCCCAACGGAGCATAGACCGCCGACCAGCATTCTCTATCCCATTCCGTCCTGGGCCTTCCTTTCTAGTTCGGTCCAATTGTGGTTCATTCGTTTCATGTCTGTCTCCATTTGCCGGTGTAATGTGTTCTTTGGTATTCCTCTCCTCCTTTGACCTTCAGGATTCCATGTGAGGGCTTTCCTTGTGACACATTTGGGTACTTTCCTGAATATGTGTCTTATCCATTTCAAGCGCTCCTTCCTGATTTCTTCCTCCATTGGGATCTAGTTTGTTCTCTCCCATAGTACGTTGTTGTTGATAGTGTTTGACTAACGAATGCGAAGTATTCTACGTAGAAAACTGTTAATAAACACTTGTATGTTCTGAATGAAAGCTTTCATTGTTCTCCAGGTTTCCACCCCATACAGTAGAACTGTGTTGACATTTGTATTGAATATTCTGACTTCGATATTAGTCATCTATTCCTATTTCCGATTATTACTACATACTACTTATTTCTGTCAATATAAGTAGTATAGAAACCACAAAACTTTTAATACACATTTTTAAACAAGATCACATTGAATTCTTTATAATATAACAATCTTTGCTTTATTTAATCAATAGATGATTTGTTCATTTCATTATTTTATTATAGTTTTTGCTTTTGAAACAAATTTCTACATTTTATTGATTGCCAGAGCTATTCAAGGTGTTGGATCAGCATGTTCATCTGTATCCGGTAAGTTATATACATTATGGAATGTGGACATGGTAACAATTTTGTTGGGGAACAGTATTGCGGTCGGAGTGGGATATCTGAAGTTGGTTAGTCGGCAGAAATTAGCGTAGCCACACCGCGTTCCACAATAAATTCATATCATAGATTTCGGTGAATCTAGATAATCATTGAAACATTTAACGAGTCATTGAATATATCTCTTTTTCACTTATGAGATTATTGTCAGAAAAGGAGTTTTGTGATGATTTGTAGTCATTTAATAGTTGAATTCATGAATTGATGAATGTTAGACCACTATAGAAAACCCAGAATCAGTAGACGTCTGTCTCGTCGTAGTATAAGACTTCTTAATAGAACGCATTCACGATCCAAGAACGCTTAACATCATAACCACTGAGCCATCATCTGATGGTGTCAATGTTTAACTTCAACTAGTCGACGAAATTGAGCAACACATCCATCATTTTCATCAGTGAGTTACTATCTCACAACTGACCCAGTTGAACTCCACTGGTCACTGCTTAGTATAAGACTCGTCGGTGGCAGTGCACATACATGTTCCCATACGAGGGACTTGGATTCAGGACCTTCGATTTGGCTCGCGGTCGCTTAAACACCAGTACATTTACACTCCAAATGTACTTTAATAGTTCCATAACACTCACATTTCATTTTACATCTTCTGTAAAATGTACACATATGATGTTATTTTGCACTGATATAGAATGGATCAAGTAAGACTAGAATGGATATATAGAACGTGTGTTTCGTCCTATTTGTGACTCGTCAGTCAATATTCTCTCCATGACTCGAACCCAGGGCTGTTTACTTTAAACTTTATTGCATTATCTAACTAGCTAATGAGTTCAGATAAATACTCATTGGTGTAATAAGTATGCGATTTAATTCAGCTTCAAATAATTTTAATTATTCCCTTGCTCATTGTTATATCTTGTGACCGCCAATTAGACAGCAGTGACTTATCGATCAAATCAATGACGCGTAAACTCGTATGAGCAGCCTAGAGTTCTAATTGGGACTGTTTTCCACCTAGCCCAGCCACTTAAGTCCAGAACACAAGTCTCAACTTCTGCGATGTGAATCATTATATTTCAAACATACAATAGCAATAAACGTTTAGTATTAGTCCATCGATAGATTCCAAAAGTTACCATTCATTATACTGGTCGGAACATAACACTAATATTCTTGGCTGAAATTTGATCAATCTTAGTTAATCTCACAAATAGGATGAGATATGCGTTTTCATTTCCATTACTGACCATATCCCATCTATTCTATATCAACAACTTATATTAAAATGGCCATATTAAAGTGATCAGTACAGGTTTTGTTCATAAGTCATTGATGTATATACATTTCAGTTTTCTAAAAAGTGCTTAAGCGATTATCTCACAACAAAAATCAATGTTAGCTTGAGATATCCAAACAAATGTATCGACTGAATGATAACCGTCAGATGGTGGCTCAATAGTCTAGAGGTTAAGCGTTTGTGAGCGAGACCGATAATGTGATAGGTTCGAATCTCACGGAGCGGAGGAGGAGTCTCATACTAGTGCATCAGTGTTATTAGATTATATGATTGGAGAAGAAATAATGATTAGGCAGAATGGAACGTGTCAGTTAATTTTAAACCTCAATATCTAAGTGAAGAAACATTTTGAGTATATATATGCTATTCAGAATAATCATAAGACATACTATCCTACATCTCTAACCATTAATGATCATAATAGCACAGAACCAAATCAGGTTGTTTGAATCTAATTAGACGTCTCAGTTCAATCGTTAGTGTTTTCATGAATTGATCCCACGTTATGATATGGGAGTTCTTAGCTTACAACCAACCTACACTTACGTAAGGGAACTTCGCTTATTAAGGTAGATCGCGCTTATGTATACAGAATACATCTCCACATTTCTATTGATATGACAGTCTTATTAAGAGGGGCAATCGTGTTTTTTTCTTAAACTACTGAATAACTATAATTCTTGATAAATTTGTTAACCTTCCTAAATAGTAAATAGATGAAGACAACTAATGATAATCATCATATACAAACTATTCAACAACTCATATGACACCTCATTCAATCAACTTTACGAAGAGAAAGATACATTGATTACTATAAGCAGAGATGATAGTGGTTAGCAGTGAAATCCACGACATGTGTTTCGACCTAGTTAAGACTCATCAGCTCCATCCCAATGTTGATGTCCACTTTGAGAGACTGATCATTTACAGTCTTAAACCAATATATCAATGAATGATATTGAATGTTATTTTCAAGTTTAGACATTTAAGAATGAGATCAAGGTAAATATTGACAAAATGATAATAGTGAATGGATCATTCAGTTGTTGTTGTTGTTGTTTATATTTCTTCTGATAATATAGGAATGGGAATGTTAGCCACTTATTATATTGATGAAACAGAACGTGGTCGCGCATTTGCTATTGCTTTAAGTGGACTTGCTATAGGGTTATTAAGTAAGTAAATCTATATTTATAATAATGTTAATGATGAAAGTAATGTAATATGTTGTCTAGTAAATTCAATATAACGAATGGTGTTTCAGTTATTACAGTTATACTGTAAGATAGAAATTTATATCACCAACATTCACTCACCAATTTAGCTACCCGATAGTCGCTAAACACAAAGACTGATACAACAAGCCAGGTTGACAAAGACTTAAATAGATAGACAGATAGATAGATAGATAGATAGATAGATAGATAGATAGATAGATAGATAGATAGATAGATAGATAGATAGATAGATAGATAGATAGATAGATAGATAGATAGATAGATAGATAGATAGATAGATAGATAGATAGATAGATAGATAGATAGATAGATAGATAGATAGATAGATAGATAGATAGATAGATAGATAGATAGATAGATAGATAGATAGATAGATAGATAGATAGATAGATAGATAGATAGATAGATAGATAGATAGATAGATAGATAGATAGATAGATAGATAGATAGATAGATAGATAGATAGATAGATAGATAGATAGATAGATAGATAGATAGATAGATAGATAGATAGATAGATAGATAGATAGATAGATAGATAGATAGATAGATAGATAGATAGATAGATAGATAGATAGATAGATAGATAGATAGATAGATAGATAGATAGATAGATAGATAGATAGATAGATAGATAGATAGATAGATAGATAGATAGATAGATAGATAGATAGATAGATAGATAGATAGATAGATAGATAGATAGATAGATAGATAGATAGATAGATAGATAGATAGATAGATAGATAGATAGATAGATAGATAGATAGATAGATAGATAGATAGATAGATAGATAGATAGATAGATAGATAGATAGATAGATAGATAGATAGATAGATAGATAGATAGATAGATAGATAGATAGATAGATAGATAGATAGATAGATAGATAGATAGATAGATAGATAGATAGATAGATAGATAGACAGGTTGATTGATTGATTGATTGATTTCCTAATTACATTCTGTGAACTGTCGCGTCTACAGAACCGTGTTTCCATCAACACACATGATGAAGTCACTTTACTCACTCCATAGAAACATCAAATTGTTGCCTGATTCTCCATTACCTAATATGTACTTTGTATAATTCAATCAGGATTTTCCCAATGTGTTTGTAAACAATCATTTCAATTCATACATCAAAACAGACTAATTCTTAGTTATATATATTGTGCTTTCTGTTTTCAAGTTGGTGCCCCCTATGGAGGAATTACATATCAGTTTATAAGTAAACAAGCACCATTTCTCATTCTGGCTAGTATAACTGTTGTTGATGGAAGTAAGTTGAAGTGATCTATTATGATTTGACTTCAATATATATAAATATACATAAGATATTAATCTTTCATTAACTATTCATAGTTGAATGAAAAAGGATATGGAAACTAGAAAGTACACTTTGTAATGTTGCATAATAGAATAAGTATTTATGTAAAATTCATAAATGATCATAATATATTGTGTGCTACTGATATTGACAGATATAAGTAGTATGTTAGTCAGTTAACTTCAACATAGGATCAGGCACATAAGTTGCCATACCTCATTAGCACAACAGTATCAGTACCAAATTCATACAAGTAGTTAATTCAGTGGTGGTAATATACAAAGGGAACATTGCATATAAAGATATAGTAAGGGACGAAAGAATTAGTTCGTAGAAGGAAAGATATGAAGTGATTTTAATCTCATCGTTTAAAGGAAGACAGAGAGTGTATACACCTACGCCATTGTGATCGATTCTAAGCCATGCCACCTGCAGTCTCCAACCATTGGTTATAATAGTCACGCGGACCACAACCAACTAGTCTGTATCTACCCACATGGCTCAGACTAGAAGTTAGTGACTTTAAGGACTGATGCCACGTTTTTGGTATGTAGTATGTAATACCAGTCGAAAATGGAATCCCTGGCATTAAAAAGTTGAGAAATGTGAAGAGAATGAGAATAGAGAGTAATCAATATGGAAATGAAGGAACAATCAAATCTGAGACAATTGATGGATATTCTGCAAATGATGTATTTAACGTATGGTATTCACATTTTATCAAATAACTATATAATTTTGTATCCCAGTACATTTGGTTGTCCTACAGTGTGTGCTACTGATGTCAACAGATATAAGTAGTATGTAGGAACAATCGAAAATCAAATGCCTATCAACAGGTAGTTGAGAAAATTGAAGAGAAGAGAATGAGAATAAAGAGTGATTAATATGGATATGAAGGAATAATCAAATTTGCAAATGAAATATCCAATATATGGTTGTTAGATTTTACCAACATATTATGTAATGGTATATTGAAATACATTTGATTATCCTGGCACATATGTTCTCACTGATTACAATAGAATAAAATCTATATGATGAAGATGATGTAATCAGAAGGCAATTGAATAGTTATGGTTTGATACTACGATAAGTATCTGGAATGGTTACATAAATGCCAAATAGTGATACTCTTGTCCGTTCTAGAATATTTCACACTGGTACAACCTTCATGAATTCTAAGTGAACACCATCACTAACAAGAATCAATTCAAATGTTCATACACGATTGTAGAATGATCATAAGGTATTGTAAAGATTACCAAATGTTCATAATGTACATCAAGAACTGATACTACTTAGAAAGAATATCAAATATCAGGCAGTATTGGATAATTGTTTCGGCTTATTGCATCTAATGCTCTACCGACGTGAATGTCTCGCAAGCTAGACTGAAAGGGTTAGACCTAATTCACAATCAGAGGTATGAATACACAATGCTGCGGAGTATCATTATTTACTTACTTACTTACTTACTTACTCACTTACTAACGCCTGTTACTCCTTGTAGAGGATCATAGACCATCAACCAGGATTCTTCATCCAACTATGGTTCTGAACAGTCTTTTCCAGTTGTTGAATACATTAACTCCCCTATAAATAATTTTGTTCATATTTGTATTTGTATAATTCTGTTTATATCAATCATATTGCGTTATTGTGTTTATTTCCAACATTTAGTTCTACAACTGTTAGTCTTGAAACCAAAGATTCAACGTGAAAGTCAAGAAGGTTCAAAATTAACTGAATTGTTAAAAGATCCATATATTTTAGTAGCAGCTGGTTAGTTTATGTTTAATTAGTTCAATATTTATATCAGAAGGGAGTTTTGTGGATATTACAGTAATTTGAATGGTTGAGATCATTAGTCAACTGAGGTTAGACCACCGTGGAAAACCTGGAAGCATTGAACCGCCATTTCATATTATTGTAGGACTCTTCAGTGGCAGTGGACATCTACAATCCCTCCTCGTGAGATTCGAATCGGGTCTGTTGTGAGATAGTAACTCACTGGTGACAATGGTGGATGTGTCGCTCAATTTCGTGGATTAGTTGAAGTTAGACATTAACACCGTTGGATGCTGACCAGTTCAACGGTCTAATGATTAAGCGCTCGCCCGCGAGACTGATAGGCCCTGTGTTCCGATCCCGCGATGGGTGAGATCGTAGATGAGCACTGCTGAGGAGTCCCACAACACGACAGAAAGGTGGTCCAGTGCTTTCATGTTCTTCATAGTGGTCTAGCTTCAATTGACTGATGATCTAAACCATTGAAAGTTCAATATTTGTTGACATAATCCTTTTTTTGAGATTAAATATAACACATACTACTTATTAATATATTCATAAGTCATTTGTTTTTTATTTTATGTGATCAAAGCTGAGAAAAACAGATACTGACATCATTCTACGAAGTTATTAGTTGTTTATCTAAGCCATAATAATGTATCCAGATTGTTTAACTGAGGCTCAGGATAGTCACAGGGAAGATGATCCATGAGTTATTCATTTTTCCCCTCTATCTTGAGTTTCAACATTCTTTCCTAAAAAGTGTTAAACTCTTCCTGACCAAGAAAATTTGTAGTGTTGGTGCCATTGTTACCCGAGAACTGATGAACTCATCCGCTTAGCTGAATTTACTTTTAAATGAGGCCATAACACAATTGTAGAAGTAATAGGATATCATAGGAGAAACGTATGAAGGCGGTCCTCAAAAGGTCCCTAGACAACAGGATCCAAATCACTAATCCACATCCTACTTACCCTGTAGTCCTAAAAAAGTGACGAGCTATTACCCATCACACATGGGTACTCTGGATTATATCACCCTTATTGAGACGTTGTCACTGAGCCGACAGTGATTATACTCACGAAACAGAGGTTCCAGTTAACTGTAGAAACATAAGTCCGTGTTCCCTCTACATCCACATAAACTTAGATAAGAATCTATTCTTTCCAGTAAACAAAATTTACCCATGAAAATCCAAAAGTAACCATACTCTTATTAACACTGCATGTCATCTCTAGACACTGGATGAGGGTATGATTTTTTAACCTACTCCATCGAAAAGATTCAGGCTTAACTTGATCACACTTAATCACCTCGATGACTTTCAGTACAACTATGATGAATCTACATCAGATCTGTAGACAGTTCTTAATACCACTGTTATATCTCTCAGCAGAATAAGAGCATTCGTTATGTGACCATGCTCGTATAAGAAATTCAGTTTGATGTGTGCAATTGTTGTGAGTAGGCAAAGTGATCGCTGACAGGATTAACAAGACTGTGACAGCAGTTGATCAGAAAGAACCACATGAAGGTCATCATCAGAAACTATAGCTTTTGTAGGTGTAGCCGCACACTCTATCAAAGATAGAATACACTTCATTTATTTATTAATATTTGAACACATAAATATTGGAACAATGGGGCGCTGAGTACATATGAGCAACAAAAATCACTTGATTTGTGAGTGGGGTGCGATACTGCTCGGATGCCTAGACCGAAACAGGTGGGTTTCTTACGGAGCCACACCCAGAGCCTTAGACCTAAAGGTCTGATCCAGTGAAATAACTTAAGGAGATGTAGTCCCATGGTAGTCGGTCACTAGCGGTTGTTTCAAACGCCATTTGTTCCCTCAGAAGGCTTGAGCCCATGTAAACTATTGGTTTGGAATCAGGGTCTAGCGACTCCCCTAGGTGGATCGTCCATATCTACCAACGCGATTGAAGCTCCGGACATGCGCTTTTCGTCCTCTCAATTTCATAAACGACACCCCCCCATTTGCGAGAACTCAATGAGTAGGACTTCTCTGGCAGTGGTTGTATGTACGTGGCCATGTAAGAGCACTCCAAGAGAGAGAGAGCTGACTCTCTTCACCCTCAACCGTACCAGAGCATTTGAAGGCTGATACATCTTACTCCTGTTGGATATACCGACAATCTTAAGGTAATTGATATTCCCAGTCTTTCATTCAATTATTTCTTCTCTTCATTTTATTTTATATACATTAAGGTTCAATTACATTTGGTAATCTTGGTATGTCTGTATTAGAACCAACTTTACCATTATGGATGAAAACTAGAATGAATTCTACAGAATGGCAACAAGGTATTGCATTTCTACCAGCTAGTTTATCATATCTAGTTGGTACAAATATATTTGGACCAATTGCACATAGAATTGGTAGTGGATATAGTGCAGGTTTAGGTTTATTAATTACTACTGGATGTTTAATAGCAGTAAGTTTGTTGTTTTAATGGAATTTTATAACTAATTGGCTAATAAATTCACTCGATATTGTTTGGCTTGTATCTTCCCATTGAGGTTTAAGACTGCAATTGATCAGTCTGTTATTGGCATATGTGCATACTGTGCGTATGCCTCAGTATTGCCTTAATTCACAAGCTTTTTTTGTAAACAATGATGGATAGTGGTTAGCAGTGGAATCCAGTTTAACGCGCGTTTCGTCCTATTTGGGACTCGTCAGGTGGATGTACTTGTATCTCACATTTGATGTTCACTTTGAAACTCGAACCCAGTACCATTCGCTTCAAACGCCGTCGCGTTATCCACTCAGCTACTGAGTTCTGATAGCCACTTGCTTGTGCAATTGACTAATAGTAGAATAATGGTAGATTTTAATGTCTATTCATTCAATGAGCTTCTGTCTAGTTAGAATGTGAACATGGCAAGTGGATAAACTTTCTATTATTCACTATTCTCTCTTGTCATCCTGCGATTGATCAATCTCTTGTTGGCATATGTACTTTCTGTGTAGATTGCCTTATTATAGCCCTAATTCATAAGCATTAGTTGTAAAGATGGATGTTGACTAACAGTGGAATCTAGGATACGCATTTCGTCCTATTTGGGACGAGTCAACTGGATCTACCTGAATGTCAGAGTTGATGTTCACTCTGAGACTCGAACTCAGTACGATCTGCTTCTAACAACATCGCATTATTCACTTAGATACTGAGTGCTATATATGAGTCTAAATATTAGTAATATGTCCATAATGCGTCAGAAATAAGCGACGCTAAAGTTACTTATTTACTTTTCTACATACACCTGTTAACCCTCATAGTGAAGCAGAGGTCATCCACCAGCATTGTTCATCGAACTATGTCTTGGACAGTCCTGGACAGTCCTTTCCAGTTGTTTCTAGTTACTATTTGATCACTGACTTATACAACCAAACTAATGATGCGTGCACCAGTACGGGCAATATAGAGTTCTGAATGGTCGTTTTTCTGCTTGTTAAGTCCAGAACACCAATCTCAGCCTCCTCTATAGAAATCGTATAGTTCAGATATAATGACTGTAATCATTAGACTAGCCATAACTTAAGAACGGTAAATCGTATAATAACAGTCTATAGATCAAATGAAAGCTTATAATAAGAGGAATATGAATATACACAATATAATATAGTTACTTAATAATCCTACAATAAGAATATCTGTATAATATTAGTTCACAAATAGATCCTAGCAGTTACCGTTCGTTTATTCTTCGTTCGGATACAACAAATTCCTCATTTTAGTCTCCTTTTTATCTCAACCTTATTAAGTCTGGACTACAACACAATAGAAACGCATGAAAATAACAGTTACTATGCTTAAATGAGTTTTAAGAAATTTTTTATTCCTTAAAAACATTCGGTTGTTTATCATGTTTCCAGGTACCGTTTTCAAAACGAATGGAACATTTAATAGCGCCTATGTTTGGTTTGGGATTTGCTGTTGGTAAGTGAGTAGTAGTATTGTAAGTAGTATTAATGGTGTATTAATCATTTTATTAAATGTGAATAGATAATATCATGTCGATGTAATTTTTTCTCAACCAATGAAACTCTATGCTCATACATGACATCAAATGAACAGTGATTTGAATTATAAATGATGTATGGGTTTTCTTAATGCAAACAAAACCTGAGTATACAATTTTTCCTTACATTAGGCTATGAGTAACCCATTAAACGCTGAGATGGGAGTTTACGAATGAGAAGTTCAATACTCTTCTGGTAACGATAGATTTCTTGGAGGGAAATGATCTCAGGTTTGTATCTATGTGGCTTCTTCACACCTCAGGTAGTCGAGGAGCTTTTGCGCTTAGCCTTGGTGGCCAGCTGCTTACAAGGCGCCTTACTTCCAGTCGATTAGCGAACAGTCTGCTTAATATTTACCATTCCAAAACAATGAGAGACGATGACTATCCATAGATAACTTAAGAATTCTAAAAGCTAACCTCAGGAAGTGATGTGAATATTACTAACAGTTTATATGGTCAATGAACCAGATAAGCTCAGAAATCCTCCTTACTTAAACTTGTCTTCAAAATAGAACTCTACTCAAGTGATTATCTTCTTTCATTATAGTGAAAATTCCTATTTTCAACATGTATTAAATTAGTTTTTCATCATAGCTTAGAGTAATATGTGTTTGTAAAAATTGTAATGTATACTACTTATGTTTGCAGATATAAGTAGTATATAGTATCAGTCGGTAGTGGAATACCTGTCGATAGAAGATTATAAAGGTTGAAATGAAGAGAAGAGACAAAGCGACTAAAAGCAGTCAATATAATCACAGGAATGAAGAAATAACGAAACATTCAAGAGACAATTCAAAGAACAGGTGCACATGATGTATTTCATGTTGATGTCAGTGGGCATTGAACAATAAGTTAGTTTTATCTACTTGAGTTCCCATTCACTACACAATGAAATAATATTCACCAGGAATTTGTGCTGCGTAATAATTATATGATGTCGCAGTGCATATATAGAATAATATTACTGTAAATTACTATGGAGTTCCTGAGAAGATTGTCGATATTATCCGGAGCTCATATGACGGACTACAGTGCAAGGTCGTGCATGGAGTACAGCTGACAGATGCATTCCAAGTAAGGACCGGTGTCAGACAGGGATGTCTACTCTCCCTCTTCCTCTTTCTTCTGGTGGTCGACTGGATTATGAAGACCTCGACATCTGAGGGAAAACACGGAATACAACGGACAACTCAGAACCAGTTAGATGATTTGGACTTCACAGATGACCTAGCCGTCGTATCCAATACACACGAACAAATGTAGATAAAGACAGCTAGTGTAGCATCAGTCTCTGCATCATTAGACCTCAGCTTACACAAGGGGAAAACCAAGGTCCTTAAATACAACACAGAGAACATCAACCCAATCACACTTGATAGCGAAACTCTGGAAGATGTGGAATCCTTCACTTACCTGAGAAGTATCATCGATGAACAAGGAGGATCGGATGAAGATGTAAAGGCTAGGTTTGGCAAAGCAAGGATAGCATTCCTACAGTTAAGGAACATGTGGAACTCAAAACAACCATCAGCCAACATCAATGTCAATGTGTTCAATACCAACGTCAACACACTTCGACTGTACAGAGCTGAAACTTGGAGAACTACTACAAACATCATCAAGAAGGTGCAAGTATTTATAAATAGCTGTCTACGTAAGATACTCAATATCCGCTGGACGAATACTGTGGGAGAGAACAAACCAGCTTCCATCTGAGGAGGAAATTAGGAAAAGACGATGAAAGTGGATAGGACATACATTACGGAAACCACCAAACTGCATCACGAGACAAGCCCTAAATTTTAATCCTGAAAAGAAACGAAAAAGGAGAAAACCAAAGAACACATTACATCGAGAAATAGAAGCAAATATGGAAAGAGCTTAAAAGGATTGCCCAGGACAGGGTTGGATGGCAAGTGCTGGTGGGGGGCCTATGCTCCTCCACGAGGAGTATTATCGTAAACTAGGCATACATCTATTAGTGTAGAGCCATGATGAAGAACCGATTGAAAAGAAATCCCCTCGTTCTATTTGTTTCTTTTTTAACCCTTTTTTGTTTGCTCGAGGTATGTAAAAAGATGATAAGCTGGAAATTAGACTATCATGATGCTAGTACTATGATGTGAACTACTTATGTCGATTGATATAAGTAGTATGTGACACTAATCGAAAGTGAAAATGCTAGACGGCAGAAGATTGAGATCAAACAGATAGTGATTGATATGGAAATAAAGGAACAGCCAATTCTGAGACAATTGATGAACATCTTACAAATGATGTATTCAACGTATGGTAACCACATTCTAGCAAAGAACACTGTAATTCTGTATACAAATACATTCGATTGTCCCCACTTTTGCTCTTGTTCACTGTAGGGTTGACATTCATACCACATACTTAAAAAATATGTACCTGAAAGGGAAATCTCGAATCACTTCAATGCGGATACATATCACTCTTCTACACTAAAATATGATTTCATATTTCAATTTGATTGTTCTCTTTCTTCTTATTTTTGGTTCATTTAGGCATGGTTGATTCATCAATGATGCCAATCATGGGTTATTTAGTAGACTTAAGACATGTTGCAGTCTATGGAAGTGTATATGCTATTGCAGATGTGGCATTTTGTCTTTCATTTGTAGTTGGTATGTTAATTGATGGTTGTCATGTTTTTTTATAATGAAAATTAACTAGTTTTCATTTTCAGTAGTTGAAATCATAAGTCAATTGAAGGTAGACCATCATGGAAAACCTGGAAGCATTGGACGGCCATTTTGTCCTAATATGGGACTCCTCAGTAGTGCGCATCCACGATCTCGCCTCCCTCCATAGTGGTCTAGCTCCAATGGACTCATGGTTTTAACTGTTGAAATTTCTAGAACCTCCACAAAACTCCTTCTGATCAATTTCATTTTGTTGAAGTGACCTACTTTGAATCTGGATGGTTTATTCTTGAAGGTATCCGTTTCTTACTGAATAATATCAGTCTTAAGTGAATGACAAACTTCTTCAAGTTGTAAACTATAGATTTGTTACATTGAAGATCAAGAATGTATTTGTAAAATCTCAGCGAAAGAATTCGAAGTAAATCCACCGTTTCGTCTGGCAATCTAATTCTTGAAAAAGCTTGGACCAAATTGGCAGGCGAAACGTTGGATCTACTTCAAATTCTTTCGCTGAGATTTTACAAACACACTCTTCATCTTTAATGTCTCGAATTAGTTCGACGCTCGAATACTGTGAAACTATTTGATCAAATTTAGACGAACGTTTTTATTTATAGATTTGTTAGTTTGACTACCCTCTGCATGTGAAGAGACAAGATCGGATTCGTTTGGAAAAATTCAGAAGTAAAATTTACTAGTCACTGAAACGAATAGACATAATCGAACGCTGAATATCATAAATAGTTAAAATGTGAATGAAGTAGAGATGGATTACTTTATGTATCCGATACCAGTAAATTAATGTGTCAAGCATATTAAATCTACATTCGAAAATTCTCTGTTATTTTTTGTACTTTTGTTGTACTACTTTTAGAAATTCAGTAGTTCGAATAATTAGAATTATTTTTCGTTGATATACACTTAGAATTCTTTGCTTGTATCTTCCCATTGATGTTTAGGACTGTGATTGATCAATCTCTTATTGGCGTATGTGCATACTGTGCATATTGTCTCGATATTACCTTAAGTCACAAACATTATATGAAAAGATAGATAGTAACTATTAGTGGAATCCAGAAGTTGTTTCATCATAATTGAGACCCGTCAGATGGATGTATCTGCATTCCACAGTTGATGTTCATTCTGGAATTAAAACACAGTACCGTTCACTGCACTTATCTATTGAGTTCTGACTGTCACTAGTGTGTGCAATTTAGTGAATTTTAAATTTGTTTAGTTATGTCCAGAGACCCATTCAGATATTTAACAAAGAAAGGAGTAGAATGAAGAAATATTTCTTTTCAGTCGGTTTTTCATCATGACCCTACAACAATAGCGGAATAATATTGGTCGAATAGTGAATTCACATAATCGTTTGTGAAGTTAAAACATCATCTCACAGAAATAATGGACCGAATGATGTTAGACTACCAATAAAATCCAACGAGTAGCAAATGGCCATTTGTTTTAGTATGAGACTCCTCAACAGTGCGGAACTACAACATCCTAGCCAGAAATCCGATCCAGGACCTTTGGTCTCGCGTTCGGACACTTAACTTCTTGATCATTGAGTCGGTATTCAACATTTCCGAATCGTGGATATGCATTGCTGAGGAGTTCCACAATAAGATTAAATGGCCGTCCAGTGCTTCCAGGTTTTCTATGGTGGTCTAACTTCAATTGATTTGTAATCCCAACTACTAAATTACTACAATCTTTACAACCCCCCCTTTTATGAGTATATTTTGTTAGAAATTCGTATTTCTGTTGTTACATATGTTTTTATATTTCTGAATAGGACCAATTGTTGGTGCTATACTGGTGAAATTCTTAGGTTTTAATTGGTAAGTCATTTCATTTATTTTGTATTTATTTTTTAAGATTATCGCTTAACAATTTGGTTTCATTAGATACATGTTGGAATAGAATAATTTTGATAGTTTTGTTCTTTGAGTTGGATAATTCAGTCGTGGAGCTTTCATGGTTCTTCTGGACAACATCATCAGCACAAACTTCAGTTCTTAAGATCCTGGAATCCATGTGCACCATTGATTTGGTATCTCGGTTTTCCAACTGCCCTAAGTGCATACTTCATATCTACGTGGCCGGTTAAAGCACTGGACATTTACTTTTCGTTCTCTCAATTTCGTAAACAGCACCTTTGCTGCGAAAAGTCAGTGAGTATGACTTCCGTGACAGTAGCTGTATACACTTGGCCATGTGAGAGTAATTCCAAAGGGAGAGCCGACTCTCCTCACCCACGGCCGTACCCGGGCAGTCGATGCCCTTTAACAAGAATCATCTAGATATAAAATGATAAGTGATAGGTCATTTCATAAGATTACTCAAATATTTTCCAACAATTCAAAAATCTTACTAGAAACGATAATCTTAAGCTCTGTGAGACTATAAATTTATGGGCGAACCAATCGGGTATGAAATAACACATCTAGGATTTTGGCGCGAAATTCATTCATTCATTTGGTTAAATAGAGTATCGACATTATAACTGATGTCATTTCGTGGTGAAAACCCAAAATGTAATTCCTAACCTTATTCATCCACTGTAAACCATCATTCGACTTCCTCACCCTGGTTTATAACCCTCATTTCGTCCTAGTTACTAAGCGAACACTCTCAAGGTTACTTTAGCGTCACTCAAAGGTCGTCCATAAATTACAGTCTCGCCGTTAACAATTTTTATTCAAATACCATTTTTGGAATAAACATTTTACTATTTAGGTCAACTGTTAACATTATAGAAGTCATGATATTATACATCAAACCCAGGTGATGTTACATATTCCAGCCTATAACTTTGATAAACCTGAAAATAATTCTGACTTAATAGTTTAAAAATCAAGTTTATGGTTTTTCATCCTTAGTAATCAAAAATGAAGTTGTAAACTACTAGAAGAAACTTGTGGAGACCCGTTATTTAATCATCATTGAGATCGAACGATGCTGTCGAATGGGCTCTCTACTTTAGTGGCCCGAGATCTGACTCCAATGTGATTGTAATGATGATTGTTGTTGAAATATATATGTCGCCTATCCTCGTATATAATCATCGACTTAAATCGCGTTAGTCAATAACGGATTTAGATAAGTCAAATAACGACAATGGACTTGTGAATACATATAATTTGTATATGAAGCGAATGGAATAGAGGAAAGAGAAACGACGCGGAGTGGAGATGGCGGGTAAGCCAACTCCCATTTAGCCAAGGGTTAATCAATAATTTTAGTTACACAAAAGTAAGTTACAGACATGTAATAAGTAATGGGATAAGAAATGTACACACATCTACGCGCTCATGTGTAAACAATCAAGATTGATATGCGAGTAATTAACAAAGTCAGAATGTGACTCAAGTAGAATGAATAGAATGGGCTGTCCGAAAGCTAGAATAATAAGATATATGGGCTTAACATAATAACCGACACTGCAAACTCATACTAGGACAAAAAAAGGTTGTTCAGTGTCTTCAAGTTTTTCACATTGATCTGACCTAAACAAATTCGTTGTTTTAACAAAAATGTTAGGTGATGAAAAACATTTACAGTACAGATAGATAATTTTGATCGAATTGAGCTTTCTACATCTACATGAAGTAAGCGCTTGTAGATCCCCAACGTAGATGATCTATGTCAAAATGATTGGAGGCCTACTCGAGTTAGACGTGAATGGTAGGACAAACTAGATAACGTCGAGGTCACACCTTACATGAAGTACCCCATTTACGTATCAAGGTACCATAGATGCTTTGAAGACTGTATAACACATAGGACGCTATTACAGAAATATACTAGTTAAAGTAGATACAAGCGAAAGTAAGACCACTAGCGCATGGGCCAATCCATGGCATATGATTAACTGATGCGCGTTGGTTGTCCTTGACCTTGACAAGGATCGATGATTTGTTCAATATTCAATGACCCAACTGCCAAATGATTTGGCTAAGGCTTAGTGACATTTCTCTGGCCCTACATGCTGATAATTGTTATATCCCGACGAGAATAATCAACGATAACTGTCACGATTTATTTATGGTCAAATGCATCAATTTAGAAGACTCTTTCGGTTTCTCACATTGTACGAGCATTCCGTATACCTAAATAAATGGTTGCTCTGGTTATCAGAAAGGATATCAGCTTCGTGACTTCCGAAGGAACTTGGCTCCTCCTTCTTTGTCCGGGCTTGGGACCGGAAGTAGCCCCAGAGGTGCTCCGAGAGGAATTTATGGTCTAACATTATACATATATTTCTTATTGTGTAATTGTTAAGTAACTAAACTATTCACTATTCCACTTAGCATAAGCTTTATTTTGATCTACAGACTATTACTATACGTTTTACCGTTCTTCAGTTATGCCCAGTCTATTCATTACAATCTCCCTCATTCACATCCACTTTTGGTTAAACCTTGTACAAATGTTATTTAATATTTTATGGTACGATGTGGCCTGTTTGGTTTGTATATAAACTCCGCATGTTTGATATGCATGATTCATATGTTGGAGTCTGAGATCGGTGTTCTGGACTCAACAGGAAGGCAGGGCTATGCAGGAAGTAGGACCGATAAGGACTCTAGACTGCTTGTACGGGTGTTATGCGTCATTAGTCCAGTCAATAATTCACTATTCTCTAATTAATGGTATCATTACGTCATATATATTGATAAAGGCATAAAGCCACAAGTTATAACAATAATGTTGTTCAAAACAACAATAGAAACTTTTGAATGAAACCCATTTTAGGTAAGAGGACTCAGTAAACGTCCAAACCACCCAGCTCAAAGAACAAAACTCCATCAAAATCATCCACCTGAGCTACAAATCTTCTCCACCATCTCAGTAAACGTCATTTTATCATGAAATGTCCTTCTTCTATTGTTATATTGAAATTGTTTTCCTTTTATCATATTTTAGGATGATTTGGATTACTGCAATCATTTGTTTTCTCTATGCTCCTTTAACGTTATTTCTCAGGAATCCATCAGAAAAAGAGACAAGTAATTTAGAGGTAATATAAGTCGTTTAATAGTATTCTACTCTAAAAGTCACTACTAGTGAATATGTAGAGGTTTATGTAGAATTGTATAAAATATGGATTGAATTTATTGAATTTATGGTAAATCTACTTTGTATTATGATGGAATCTACTCACCAGATAAGTTGTATGCAGTTAAACGTCAGATGGGAATTCCTACAATTGACAGTCCAAGACAAGTGAAATGTACAAATACTTGTGAGACTAGAAAGAAGGCTATAGAAGGTAATCTACTACCAGCTTGAGTTACGGAGTACACAATAGATCCAAATGGAAGACTGAAGAATATGTGTATACTACCTGGTTGGGATCCATGAGACGATAGCAACCGATGATTAGAGACCTTGGATGACATGACTCAAAATCGTTTGCAATGGTGCAGGTGCACCCACTCTTTGTGTTTTCCCGAATTATAATCTTGTGAATTCTTCATGTCCCTTTCTCTTTTCTCTTTCCCAATTTATTTCACTGAATTGTACTCCTTGAATAACATCTTTAAACTCTAATCTTTCCGATTACTGCTTATACTCTTACTACCTCTACCACTATGGAATTAGAATCGACAATTGTATCTGTGTGTTGATGTGGTATGGCAAATTGAACTGACGTATGTACGTACGTACGAAGTTCTACGTTGCTGCTGACTGACTACATATATTTCACAATAAAATCTGTGTTTCCTCTGGATTCGGGTTGTTCGTACATTACGGTATGACTATGATAACTCAAAACTTCAACAGCATCAGGTTATCTGAAACCTAAGAAGAATTTTCTAATTCTTTACGAGGTTTTGACTGTTTTATAACCAGGTTTTTCATGTTAAAGGTAATTAAATTGCAGTTAACTCTGCAAAAAATCACATTCAGTAGAAAGAAAAATACAGTTAACAATTATCATTATGATTACTGTTATAACGCTCGATTTTCCGTCTGTACTAATGGGATGTTAATCTACACTAGATTCCCTCCCAGTGTCTATTATTCTACAGGACTTCAACACAACTCAGATCAAGAACACATGACTAGCCTGATTAGAATGTGAGTATATTTCCACACTATAAACCGACAACAATCATAATAATATCAAGGGTCATTGAATACACAACTCATCTAACACTTGTCAGACTATCTCCTAGTGTGACTAAGCAAAGAACCAATCATTATCTTCCTCGTTCAAACATCAACGACGTGTAGTTGCTTTTCAATGTGCATAGAATCCGAATCTATCAGTGTTGAGTGTTACTTGTAAGAATGTTTAGGAAGAAAAGAGAGGGATAATTCCCAATGACATTTAGAAGAAAGTTCATTTATTCGAAAACTTAAATTAATAACTAATTTGACCTATAAACATGATGGATGGTGATTAGCAGTAGGATCCAGAACGCTTATTTCATCCTAATTAACAGTCGTCAGATGGATGTACCTACATCTCACAGTTGATGTTCACTTCAGAACTCCAACACAGTGCTGTACACTTCAAATGTCATCACGTTACCCACTTAACTACTGAGTTGTGATACACACTAGCTTGTGCAATGAGGTGAAGTTTTACTTTATTTTTGTATGGGTTGCTCGGATTTTCCCATTAATGTTTAGGACTGTAATCGATCAGTCTCCATTAGCATTTGTGCATTTTTTTCCCGATTGTCGCCAGCATGTTTCTAAGCAGAGATGTGTAGCGTGGTGTCGAGATGAAATTAACTATGAACACCGCTACCAAGAAACATGTGCCAAATAAATCAGAAGGCGAGGGTTGAACGTAACCAAATAAATCCATAAAATCCCCGAGAAGCCAAATACCAGAAGGCAATTAATGGACCAAGTTGAGGCTTATTAGCTGGCGATCTCGTGGCATCGAAAGGATACCGAGATCGTGCCAGGATACAAGCTTGGTTACAGAACGTAACCGAATTCGCGCGAAGTTACAATCAAAGTGTGTGAATAAGAATGGAAGCACAATATAGCTGTCATTAGCACAGTTAAACAAAAGCACATTAAAACAAGCACCGGTACAGTTGGTTATAATAATAATTATTTTTATTAAACCAGCCGTGTTCTCGTGATGAATGTGAGTCACTACAGATGGATGAGTATTAGCAGTCGTATCCAGTACGCTTGTTTAGTCCCGGAATAAACATCGACTGTGGTATGCAGGTATATTTGTCTAATAAGTCCCAAAATAGGACGCAACACGTGACCTGAGTTCCATTGCTAGCCATCATTCATCTTTGCTTATAAAGCTTGTGACCCAAGGTGATGTCGAGGTGATCCGCATACAATGCACATATGCCAACAAGAGACTAATCAATTGCAGTCCTAAACAACAATGAGAAGATTAAAACAAACGATATCAAGTAAATCTAGTTACTTAATAGTTATCCGATAGGAATACACGTAATAATAGTCCATAAATAACTCCTATCAGTTACCATTCATTTATTCTTTGTTAGGGTATAACACTTCCCCTTCAATTACATAATCTATCGAATGATCTGTTTCTTTTCTTTTGTTTCTTCGACATATTTTCAATACAGATAACAGTTTGTAAATCTATTTCCAGTTTAGATGAATAACCGGGAACTGTCATTCAATTAAAAATGTAGTAAGTGAATGTAAATTCATTTAGAAAGAATAAAAAATACACATTTTGAAGTGTATCGTTTTTACCTCTATTGTTTATACTGATAGATCCCGACCCAGATGCCTTAATCCTAAACCGATACCCGCAAGGACTGAAGGTTGTAGATAAGGCTGTGATTTATTGCTGGTCATCACTTTCATACTAGGAGAAAGTGGCTGTTTGCAAAAAAGCCCAAACTGAACAACTACAATACACAGACTAAACTAATCTCTAGAAAAGTCCCTTCAACTTAACATTAGATTATTGTAGAAAATCATTACAGAGTGATTGAAACTAGAAATACAAACCAGGAAAATTCCATATAAGTTATCAAAATATAAAATGAACATTATTATATGAAAAGGTTCTGAATGCAATCCCAAGTGACCTGTTCAATGGGTCCAGAAATAGGACAAAGAACATTATAGTAGTCTATCACTTTAAATTCTAAATCCTTATCCAGGTAATTTTCAGTTTGTAACAGGAACCTGTCAACTCAGTACATGGAATTCGTTTAGAGTAAAATAGTAGTAGTAGTAGTAGTAGTAGTAGTAGTAGTAGTAGTAGTAGTAGTAGTAGTAGTAGTAGTAGTGGTATAGTAGTAGTAGTAGTGGTGGTGGTAGTAGTAGTAGTAGTAGTAAAAATAGTAGTAGTAGTAGTAGTAGTGGTGGTGGTAGTATCGGGATTGACTCATGAATCCGATTATTCCATTGTTTAACATTGCGTAAATTAAATTACTTTTTACTGAATTGTTATTGCTGATGTTCTACTTCTTTTTATATTTTTCAGATGATGCATTTCTCTTTGTATTAATGTTAATATCTCTGTTGAGCATATACCAGTTATCCAAGTGAAATCGTAAAAGTAACAAACAACTTAGTAATTCCAACAGATGGATTTATTATCATCAATCAAGCTGCGAAACATTGTGTCTTTCAGTTTGACCATTTAATTTAATTGTGGATAAATACTATTTCCACTGAATTAAAAAAAGTCTTGATTAATTTTTTCTTGAGAAAATCATAATCCAAATTGAGGATACTCATACTAGGTGAATAATTAAAATCAATCTATCATGCCGATAGATAGCCTTCGTTCTGTTGGTAGAAGAAACTGGACTAGTAGTGAAATATTTCTTTATTTAGATCGTGTTGCAGGATATCATCAAGTACCAGGTTGCTTGTTTAAACACACAATGCTTTTCAATGTTCAATGCAAGATAAATGGAAATATAATCCCTGTGCAAAATAAGGAAGTGAATGAATACTTGAGCTCTATTTTTTTACATGTATTTAGATGTTTGAGGTCAGCTCTTAACAAATCAACCTAAGCTGTTACAGATTCCGCTTATCCATTCAATCAGGACTCTGTTAACAGTTGGTCATGAGTCCGTATAGAAACAGGGAACTGTTAAGCGATTGACAATTAGGAGCCATGAAAAAAATTAGGGTCGATATGACAACTTACAAATGCCCTTAAGTAAACGAGTTTCAGATCCTCGAACCATTTCATGTTTAAAAACAGTTTTTAGTGGGGCCCGTGGTTTTGTCGTCGTTCAGATCGGACGATGTTTGCTGACGAGCTTTAGTGGCCCGTGGATCTAACTCCACGTAGATCGTAAGAGTGTTTGTTATCACCTATCCTCGTATACAATCATCGACTTAAATCACGCTAGTCAATAACGGAATTTAGATAAGTCAAATAACGAGAATGGCCTTTGAATACATATATTTTGTATGTAAAGTGAATGTATTAGAACAAAGCAAAATGACGCGCAGTGGAGATGGCTAGTAAGCCAACTCAATTTTTAGCCAGGCGTTACTCAATATTTATAGGCAGACAAAATAAACTACAGACATATGATGAGAGACATCGAATATGAAGTGTACACACATATACGCTCATACAAAAACAGTCAAGACTGATAAGCGAATAAGTAACAAGGTCAAAATATGACTCAAGTAGAATGAATAGATCGGTTTGTCCAAAAACTAGAATAAGATATATTATCGTCTTAAAATAATGACTGACACTACAAGTTTACCGCGAAAGTAGTTAAACCATAACGGGCTCACCTATTTTGCAAAGACTTCTAAATTTTTGGTCTTATGACAAGTTTGGTACTTCTTAAAATTCTTCTCAAAGAAACTCGCTAGTTAGCGTGAAATAGGATTCTTTCTGGATCATTGTATTGTTTACCTACTGATTTACCCACGCCTGTCAACCCTCGTGGAACATATAACACAACTATCACTTTCTATCCCTCTCTGTCTAAGGCTGTCCTTTCAAGTGGTATTCCCTTTTTCGACGGCTACCTCCGATATTCAGCGCAAAATGCCTTTAGATCTACATTTTCTCATTCAACGTTGACGACTCCAGGTTGGGGCTTTCCTCGTGATGCAGTTCGGTGATTTTCGTAATGTATGTCCTATATGCTTCCAACATCTTTTCCTGATTTCCTCCATAGCCGGAAGCTGAGGGATGCTGCTGACGGCATTTGGTCTCCGAGTGCTATTCATGTTTTGATATCTGCCTTCGATACTCAGCTCAATGTACTCTTTGACCTATCTACCAAAATTCACGACTCCAAGTTGGGGCTTTCCTCTGGGTGCGTTTTGATGGTTTCGGTAAAGTGTTGTACCCACCCTAAGTACCTTTTTTAATTTCTTCTTCAGCTGGGAGCTTGTCTTTCCACTCTCATAGAGTAATGTTGATGATGATATATGGCCAAAGGACATTCAGTATCTTTATAGACAATTGTTTATAAATACCAGTACGTTTTTGACGACGATTGAAACAGTTCACTAAATCTCAGCTCAATATAATAGAACTGTCTTGATGTTTGTATTGAACATACGGGGTTTGGTGTTGAGTGATGGTCGTTTTGAGTTTCATATGTTCTTCAATTATGGGATCAATTAATTTGTTATCCCTTCCCATTTGAATCAAGTCCTCATAGTTTATCAACGGTGCTGCTCAGATATGTAAGGCCTTCAGCCGCTGCCAGAGTTTCTCCATCAAGTAAGATCTGTTTAATGCTCTGCTTTTCCTCTTGTATGTTTCAAGACCTGATGTTGCGGAAGCTGTTGCTTCAGTGATTTAGTCCATCTGAATTTGTCGATGTGTACAGTACAGAAGAGCTAGGTCATCTGAAAATCCAAATCATCTAGTTGAGTACAAGATGATTATTGCATTCCGCGCTTCCTCTCAGATATCGAGGCTTTCATAATCCAGTCAACCACCAAAAAAAACAGAAATGAGAGTTAGCAGCCTTGTCTGACATTGGTCTTCAAATAGTATGTATTTGCAAACTGCCCTTGCATTGTAGTCCGTCGTGAGATTTTGGCAGGCAAGCCGTTTATTTAAAAACTTATTATCCCATCATACAGTCATTATCCTACTTAAAGTTGGGTAGATCCTTGATATTGCCCACGAAAAGTGCATTTTTAAATTGATCTTCATTCTAAAAGTTTCTCGTACAACCGTCTAGACTTGAGGAAGTCTCTCCGCGTTCACCATTACTGATCTTCCCTCAGCGTTAAACGTTGAATATTATTTTTCTCACTTCAGCTTCAAGTGCCCTGTGGTTCAATTAATAACAATACAAAACCACAAAGATGAGCAGTAAGTAAATCCATACAAAAACCTGAATTTGTGAGTAAACTCACCGATAACTTCACTTAACTCCTTATTTTTAAAGTCTTGACCTTTTCATGATCCATAAAATCCCGTAATTTGAACCAGTCCATTATGATGGGCCTATCCTTACGTATAATTTTAGCAACACTTGCCAAAAAAATGCCTGGTAATCCGAGCATGCTGACGAGTTTGTAGTAAATCTTAAGTATAATCTCAGCCAGATCGAGCTATTTTCGGTAAAGAAAACACGATAAACTAGAAGTTATCTGTTCCAAAATAATATTCGACACCCTGGTTGATTTCGTTACTCAGAAACTAATGTGAAACAGTGTTGGATTTCTGAGACTGAATCGCTAAGAGCTGAGTTTACATCATGGTTATCCCAAAGACATTACTCACAATTAGCGTTAACACCATAACATTATTGCCGACATCTGGCAATGTGCGTTTGACTACCAGGACCAGAAGTGTTTGAAGAATGTTATTTCATCATGGTATGAGCCGTTCAACATTCGCCGAAACTGGGACTTATGATGAAAGTGGAAGGGTGATCAATTTATGAAATGCCACCGTGACACATAACACAGATGACTAGGGCCAGAGTACATTGATCAACTATGGCTGTCATGCTTTGTTACAGCTTAGATAATCTGGAATTAAATACATATATTCTGGGGTCGTACCTATCACGTTGATCTCATTTGAACTGCTCTGAAAAACTGGAGGGCACGCGACAGATATTATTACTTTTTTGGTTGGCCTTTCTCGTTAGTATCCAACCCTAATTCAGTTTTCAATCCGATCCAGGATTTTATACACGTGAATCATCAGATATCAACCAACTAGTCTAATGGCAAACTAATTCCAGTGAAGCCTTCAGATTGACAGTTAGATTCCAGGGAAAGTTATAGATGTCCAAATAAAAGCCAGTCTTGCTTTTATTAAAAATTGAAATTTCAAATGGTTTCTGTGTAGCCTGCTCTCGAGAGATTATCTCGCTCCCACCATCAATCAATTAACTAATCAACTAACTGCCCATTACTCAAGAGACATGACCAGTCTCAAACTCGGAATGTAAAGCAAGATATGTAAGTGTGCAAGAAATGTGGGAAGGAAACCATAAGTCGTTCAAGCATATGTTTTGAGAGTCCAGGAGCAATTTAGTTATCACTTACATGAACTCCACGCTAAGAGTATATGTTCATTAAACACGAAAATGAGCATAGACTTGTTTTCTTCCTTGGAACCTCATTTCAAAAATAGAAATGTCAACAAAATGTGCAATTTTCATCCACTCACTTCCATAGAGCCAACAAGCTTTTCTTTCAAGTAAGGAAAGTATCGGAGTGCAGTCACAGCATGTCTAGTCTCAAAAGTCGACCTTGGAACCTTCCTTAAATTCATCATATAACTAATAATCAAAAAGTGGTTTTGTCGAGACTTTAATAGTTGAATTCACGAACCAAATAAAGCTAGACCACCATAGAAAACCTGAAAGCACTGGACGGCGGTTTCGTCTCAGTGTGTGAATCCTCAGAAGTGTACATCCATGATCACACGCCAAAGGGTCTCGAACTAAGGAACTTTGGTTCCGCGTGCCAACTCTGGACCACTAGACCGCTGAACCGATATCCAACGGTCAAAATATTTGACTTGAACCAATTCACGATATTGTCCGAATGTCAATAACTCCCTCACAACAGACACAGTCGTACCCCACTGGATCGATTGAATTTTGACTTTAACACTGTTAGATGCCGGATACATGACCGAACGCTTTCAACTAGAGTGCAACCAGTAGGGCTGATAAAGTCGGAACTAATGCTGTAAAATAAGAAAACTATCTACTTCAGGGATTTACTTACCCCTATATTAGCAACTTCACTCGAGTATCAACTTCAACCAATCTCGTTGGCTCGCACACACCGATAGTGGTTGCGTATGTCGTATTTTCGGTCAGAAAACCTGTTGCAAAGTTAAACAAAATCTATAATTAAAAGACTTTTACTTTACTTTGATCATAGAACAGCTGTTTTGATTTATGAAAAGCTACGCGAAACTATTGTTTAAGTTCACTAAAATATTTAACAATCTACGCTGGACATTTGTAGCATTTTAACCAGGGTCATACGATGGTCGCTCTCTGGATTCTATATTTGTCTTTGCATTTATTTTGCATCGTCAACGCATCAAGTCTACCAGATAATTCTCCTTACAAATCTGCAGACCAAATTATATGGGCTGAAATATCTTCGAACATTACGTTCTGCTGCAACTTAACATTCAAAGGTATTTTTGCTGCATTTTAGAACGAGCATTTGATTTACTATATCATTATCTGTATAGGCAGATTTTAAAGTCATCAAGTAAAATATGTAAGCATTTTAAGAAAGTGATGATCTTGGTTCTTGATATTAGCTTAACTAAACATATTTTTCGTGGTATGTTAGGTTGTCTATGATCCTACACATAACCTCTACAAATTGGCTCAATGATGTTGTATGAAAAGTCAACCTCCGATAAACCAGGTCTAAATAATTACTTCATCCCGATGCTTTCCAGATGTTGGGTTTAAATCTTATGCAATTATAATCATCTCATCTCTTATGATGTATGCCTTAACTTATACTTTCCAACAAAGCACAACTAGATACAGTTAGCGAAATAGGTAGTGAAAAAATGAAAACAATATCACCGATACTGATAAGATCTTAACGTTCGGAGTTCGATTCGAGAAATGGTATTCACTAGTGAATAATATTACTTGAAATATATGTGAGTATGGAAAGTGAATAAATCAACAAACTGTGTAGTAAAGTAAACACTTTCTGGCGAATATTTGTTTCACGATAGATTTTTATGCATATTTTGCCAAAAATATTTCGTAACCTAAGTGGCGTATTTTTCAATTCTGTACGGTTTCTCACCACAATCTCGCAATTTTGAAGAAGCTGCGATAGAAAACTTTGAGAAAATGGCATAAAACCTCACAATTTCCCTAGATCTTTGGAAGATCGTTGGACTTTGGAGAAAACACCAAGACTTCCTCAAAATAGGAAAATTGAGACCTAACAGCTGCTATTTGCAAGTTTCTAAACATCCAAAAAACGAGATTCACTTAACTGATTTATGGTGCTTGTTTATTCATTTAAAAAAATAACCAAGGCTCATAATAATCTACAAATCGGTAGTTGCATATCCCTGATAGATTATCTCAAGATTGATCACAGTTATATTTCAGATAGGTATCAAACTTTTGATACATTTCTCTACGCTTTTCAGAATCAGAAGCACTGCAGTTGAGAGTGAATGACCAACGAATTTCTTCCTCAGTTAAAAGACCTGGCGAAGATATCAAAAGATACATTTCTCCGTCAGCCAAAGCCTGGAACATAAACGAAGCAGTCAAAAATGATATCTGCCTGACAAAAATCAATAATAATCCTGACGAAATAGAAAATCCTCCTCAAATTATTTGTGAAAAATCTGCAGATTATGGTCTGGGAGAAACTTTGGAAAAAAGGTCCATTACTTTAAAGTTTTACGGTAAGTTAATAAAAGAGTGAAATAGCATATGAGTGATTTATTTATCAAAGGTTATGGGCATTATTAAAATGTGATACATGTACTATATAATAACTTTGTTATAACACGTTTCATATAGTGGTATGATAAAACTTGCCAGACTTGTCAATCAAAAATGGGAATTTTCGCCTCACAAACTTGTATAACAGTCGCTTCCCGTATGTTTTGTGTTCAATTACTTTGTAAGAACATGTGTGCAAATTGAGGTTCTTAAAGATCAGTCAAACTCTCTGAGTGAAATTTACATCTTACGCATCATGATTCGGTAAATGCACGAAATTTTCCAATATATCGGCTATCTAAATAATATCAAAGTGAATTACTCATTATACTTGATGAATTTTTAAATCTTTAAGACTTTATGCACTTTATGCATTGTACCACGACTGATTTTGTTTTGATACACAAAACCTTTTTGTCCCTTAAATTTGAACAGATAGCTTAAGAATTAGTTGGCTTAACCAATACCATAGTAGGTCTGTATCAAGAATTTCCAGTGATCTTTATATTTTGTTTGAGATCTTTTTGCTTTCAAATACGGCAATACGTAGTCACAATCCGGAATCGTGTGAATGATAAAGAAAGACCAGATTGAGGAAATCTCTCATAACTTAACTGAGGCCTTATATAGTGCATGGAATTATTCATTTTACAGAGATGATGAAAGTTAACTGTGGAAACCTCCGAATAACACCCATCAACATTGACCACATAGTCCTCGATAAAATCATGCATCATCCAATGCTATTCAGCTCCTCATGATTCTTTAATTTATTATATGGTACACATAATATTAATCAAAAGAACGCTTTGAACCTAATTTTCATGTGTTTTGTCACCAGTAAGCAATACATATTTTTATCCTTTGAAGCAGAAATTTTCCTTTGAAAACTCGGTCGAACAG